CAACCAGGATACTGGCTTAGAAAGGTTCCCTTTGGCCTGATCTTTTTTTCTGCTTATGTGCTTAATCTCCTCACCATAGCTGTCAACTTTTGCCTTTTCTTGCGAGGAATCCTATTTGGAATAAGGGAATTTCCCTTTAAAAAAGGGAAACATTGACAGCTATGCTCCTCACCTGGGTTCTCCCATGCAGTTTGAGCAGATCAACACCATTCAGTGCTGGGAATTGTAGCTCCATGAGCGGGAAAACTAGAGGCATCGGAACTGACTATCTATTTGGGATAACGTGAGGTGCATTTTGTATGTGCTATCATTTCCTGTGCTGTCTCCTTTTTTAAAAAAAAAAAAAAAAATTTCTCAGATATACCTTGCAATGCTAAAATTTAATATATAATAAACAACCAAAAGTAATTTAAAATATTTATTGCATCAACTCCCGCTGCTTTTAAATGGTTATGGTGGGTACAATAGGAAGAAACTTTTGAATCACAGCTTGAACTGGGTTTTGATCCTGACGCCTGTTCCCCTGTGAAAATAAGGTTTATACATATTAGTCTAACTTTTTGGGTTAAATTTGCTTTTCATTTCTACCTCAGATGCTATTCTTTGCATTTTTAGTTTTGGCCCAACCTGACTTTGTTTTTTGGTTTTGTTTTTTTACTTTTTACTGGCAGAAAACAAGTGCTCACTGTATTATTTATATTTCTTTTGCTTTGTGCTGTTATTTTATTGCTTATCCTCTTCCAGGAGAAGGTGAATATTGTCTTGTCAAGGGTGTTCAACTTGTCTATAAAATCCAATAAAAGAATATTTTTAAAACAAAATTTACTATACCATAGTATAGGATTTAATGCATAATATCCGTATCTACCGGTATTTTAGCCAGCAACCTCCATGGGGCACCTCCCAAAATAACTATAACAACTAAAATATTGGGAGGATATCATAAAATATGGTTGCCATACATTCAGAATTTCCCAGACAATCCATGTCAGCAATGTTGTTTCTGGCGATTTCCATTAAAACAACTTGCCAAAAAAAGCCAACAACTTTTGTGTCCGTTTATTCAGGGTAACTTTTTGAAATACGGCAACCCTATCATAAAAGTTTTACATCTTTGCTTTTTGAATCTTGCAAAAAGGGACTGGGATTTTAATGGGACCACCATAACCTTGCATTCTTTCAGAAACCAGGGGAAATTTACCATTTTTGCTGGGCTTTTAGCAGCTGATGAGTTAAATCATTTTAAAGCCATTTTTAATTATGCTATCTATGGTAATTGTTTTAATGTTTCTATTTATTGTATAATGTTTCTATTTATTATGTATTTTTTAATATTAGGGTGTATGTGTTTTGGGTAAAACAATAGACTCAACACAATGTAGCGGTTAGACTGTTGGACTGGGACCTGGGTTCAAATCCTCACTCAGCCATGAAGCTCACTGAATGGCCTGGTCCAGTCACTGCCTGTCAGCCTAACCCACCTCAAAGGGTTCTTGTGAGGATAAAATGGAGAGAAGAACCACGTGCATCACCTCAAACTCCTCCAATGTAAAACACAGAAGTAGTAGTAGTAGTAATAATAATAATAATAATTATTATTATTATTATTTCCCCAGCCACCCTGGGCGCGTCCCAATCAAGTGTTAAAAACAATACAGCGTTAAATATTTAAAACTTCCCTAAACAGGGCTGGCTTCAGATGTCTTTTAAAGATAAGATAGCTGCTTATTTCCTTGACATCTGATGGGAGGGTGTTCCACAGGGCGGGCGCCACTACCAAGAAGGCCCTCTGTCTAGTTCCCTGTAACCTCACTTCTCGCAATGAGGGAACCGCCAGAAGGCCCTCGGCGCTGGATCTCAGTGTCCGGGCTGAAAGATGGGGGTGGAGACGCTCCTTCAGGTATACAGGACCGAGGCCGTTTATAATTATTAATATAATAATTATTGATATTAATAATTAAGTATTAATATAATAATAAAAATAAACAAAGAAAAAACTGTCCTGTGACTATTTTTGTTGAAAGGCTATATAGTAATCTTTTAAAAAAACAAAAACAAATAAACTAATGTGCTTTCCCTACCTTCCCTCAGTTAAGAAATCCTAGTAATGTACCCTGTTTTATTGGGGCATTCTTGGACTGTAGGAATTATCGCAGATCCATATACCAGTATATACCAGTATATACCAGTATGTATGTATGTGTGTATATATATATATATATATGCTTTCGTAGATTTTCACGGGTACAGGAATGCAGGTTTTGGTGTCCTCGGGTGTCTTCCCGTGTAAAAGTTGGGGTGTCTAGGCGACGTTTCGACGAGGTCTCACTCGTCATCTTCAGGCTGGTGCTTTCGGCTTCTTGTTACTGGAACAGAGCAGGATCTCAGTGTTTGAGTTCCTATAAATACTGTTGAGGGGGTGTGGTGTATAGCCTCCAATGTTCTGGGCAGAGAGGAAGTTCCCAGGCTAGTGTGCCTTTTCTTCTTTTGTTCCTTAATTACTTGAGGGATATCTTGAGTGATTTCTTGAGTGATATTCTGAGTACCACTTAGGTGGGTCATTAGGTGTGGATTACACCTAATGACCCACCTAAGTGGTACTCAGAATATCACTCAAGAAATCACTCAAGATATCCCTCAAGTAATTAAGGAACAAAAGAAGAAAAAGCACACTAGCCTGGGAACTTCCTCTCTACCCAGAACATTGGAGGCTATACACCACACCCCCTCAACAGTATTTATAGGAACTCAAACACTGAGATCCTGCTCTGTTCCAGTAACAAGAAGCCGAAAGCAACAGCCTGAAGATGACGAGTGAGACCTCGTCGAAACGTCGCCTAGACACCCCAACTTTTACACGGGAAGACACCCGAGGACACCAAAACCTGCATATATATATATATATATATATACACACACACACACACACACACACACACACAGTTTTATAATTTAGAGTATTCATTTAAACAGCCTTAAAATATCAATGACTTCCCTTCTTCTCTTTCCATGGTTCATTTTGCATACCATAAATCCCTGCATAGTTTACATAAACTAAACCGTTCAGTATTCCATTATTACATCCATCAAAACTTGCATTGTTGAATTGATCTTAATGCGGCCAACATTTTCAAACGTACAGAGTCCCCCCCCCCATATATTTAATAAACACTTTCCAATCTTCTTTAAACGTATGGTCCATTTCCATATACCACAGAACTACCGTATTCATAAAGAGATCATGACGGGAATCTGTAACCCGGCAGCATCCAGATTATGCTCTTAAAAACTTGTAATCTGGACCAGCGTCCATTTCTCACAGCGGCCAGGCAGATGTCTGTGGCAAACCCACGAGCACAACAGAAAATATCCCCTGCCCTGATTTCCAGCAGCTGGTATTCAGAAGCATTACAGTGGTACCTCGGGTTAAGTACTTAATTTGGTCCAGTGGTCCGTTCTTAACCTGAAACTGTTCTTAACCTGAAGCACCACTTTAGCTAATGGGGCCTCCTGTTGCTGCCGCGCCACCGGAGCACAATTTCTGTTCTCATCCTGAAGCAAAGTTCTTAACCTGAAGCACTATTTCTGGGTTAGCGGAGTCTGTATCCTGAAGCGTATGTAACCTGAAGCATATGTAACCTGAGGTACCACTGTACTGCCTTGGACCATGGAGGGGAATCACAGCCCTTAGAGCAGGGGTCAGCAAACTTTTTCAGCAGGGGGCCGGCCCACTGTCTCTCAGACCTTGTGGGGGGCCGGACTATATTTTTTTGTAGGTGGGGGGAATGAATGAATTCCTATGCCCCACAAATAACCCAGAGATGCATTTTAAATAAAAGCACACATTCTACTCATGTAAAAACACACTGATTCCTGGACCGTCCACGGGCCGGATTTAGAAGGCAATTGGGCCGGATCCGGCCCCCGGATCCATGCCTACCCATGCCTTAGAGCTAGTACCCATTGATAGCCTTCTCCTCCATAAATTTGTCCCTCTTAAAGGTCATCAGGGTTGGCGGCAGGCCCTGCCTCCTGTGGCAGCGAGTTCCATAGGTTAACGGCGCACTGCAGGAAGGAGGGCCTTCTTTTAGAGGAGGGTGGGGGGCTTTTGTCTACCCACTTTTTTGCATGCCATGCAGAGCTCTCCCAACCCACCCACAGCTGCCTTTAGGGCTGCTCTCAACTTTAGGGCTGCTCTCACCAGCCCCATTTGTTGCTGTCGTTATTATTACTATTACTATTATTATTCTGTGTAAATTATATGCTTAAAGTTGCACACCACCCTGGGATAATTGGATAAAGAGGGGTATATAAATTGAATAAAACAAGAGCTGTTCGTCTCCTCCGGGGAGGTGGTGGCCTCTCCTTCCTTGGAGGTTTTGAAGCAGAGCGTGGATGGCCACCTGTCATGGATGCTTTAGCTGATGCATTGCAGGGGGTCCGACTATAGGACCCCTGGGTGTCCCTTCCAAGTCTAAAATTCTATGTAATAGCAATAATAGGAGACAAGGAGGAGAAAGGACCTTGTGTGCAGTGAAAGGAGGCGCAACATCAGGTTTTGCTGCACAGACGGAAGGTGACTGGGTGTCCTTTACTAGCCTATGTTGTGAACCACCCTATGATCTTTGGATGAAGGGCGGTATAGTAATTTAATAAATTAAAAATAATAAATAATACTCCCCAGGCTGCATGTTTTTCCCCCCTCTCTCTCCTCCTTTTCTACAAAGCCTGAAGCTTTTTTGGGGCACTGCAGCCTTTCCTCTTTTTTTGCACCCAGAGCCAGACTCACCAGATCCCTCCCCAGACACGGAAGATGCACAACCTGCAGCCGCCTTCCGACGTTCAGACGGGGCTCCAGCTTCCAGGAAAGGTGGGGGGGGTAGGGTAGAGAATGGGGGGTGAGAGGGGCGTTTGCAACCGGAAATGGATTTCTCGGGGCCACTCTAGGACTCCGGGCTCGTTTTATTTAACCCTTTCAGGAAGCAGCTCCGCGTTCAGACAAAGAGGCTGCAAACCCGCTTAGGGAAGGAGAGATGCTGGAAGCTGCGTGTCAGAGCTTTGCTCCATCTAGCGCGGGATTGCCGACACGGGCTGGCAGCGGCTCGCGATGGTTTCAGGGATGGGAGCCCTTTTTGCAGTCCTGCTTGGAGGGATTGAAGCTGTGGCCTTCCGTGCATACAAAGGAGATCGTGGATTCGGAAGGGACCCCGAGGGTCATCTAGACCAACCCCCCGCAATGTAGGACTCTCAACTAAAGCATCCATAACAAATAAGCTGGGATAGCTCAGTCGGTAGAGCAATAGACTTAATCTCAGGGCTGTGGGTTCAAGCCCCACCTTGGGCGAAATATTCCTGCATTGCAAGGGTTGGACTAGATGACCCCGGGGGCCTCTTCCGACTCTCTCATTCTATACTTCTATGAGCCTCTGCTTAAAAACCTCTAATGAAGGAGAGTCCGTCACCGAGGAAGTCTGTTCAAGCCCCCTGCATTGCAGGAATCTTTCGCCCAAGCTGGGGCTCGAACCCACGGACCTGAGATTCTCTTGCCCTACTGACTGAGCTAACACCTGGCTGTCCCACCTGCAAGATGGCGCAGTGGGAGAGTACCTGCTTTGTATTGCAGAAGGTCCCAGTTCAATCCTAGAATCCTAGAATTGCAAAGTTGGAAAAGGGGACCCGGGGTCATCTAGTCCAACCCGCTGTGATGCAGGCATCTTTCGCCCAAGCTGGGGCTCAAACCCACAACCGTACTCTACCAACTGAGCTATACCAGCTCATTTGTAGTTGATGCTGTAGTTGAGATTCCTGCATTGCAGGGGGTTGGTCTAGAATAGATGGCCCTCGGGGGTTCCTTCCATGTGGGGTTCCTTCTTTGGGGTTTGCCCCATGTGGGGCTCACAACCCTGTGAGGTAGGTGAGGCAGAGAGTGCTACAGCGGCTTTCTTCCCCCCAAGGTCACCCAGGGAGCTTCATTGTGACTGAGTGGGGATTTGAACCCAGTTCCCCCAGGGCCTAAGTACTGCACACTGGTGCCTGATTTGATCTCTCTTCCTTAGGACATCCCTATTTTCATCAGCTTAAAAAGCAGAGACATCACCTTGCCAACAAAGGTCCGTAGAGTTAAAGCCATGGTTTTCCCAGTAGTGATGTATGGAAGTGAGAGCTGGACCATAAAGAAGGCTGATCACCGAAGAATTGATGCTTTTGAATTATGGTGCTGGAGGAGACTCTTGAGAGTCCCATGGACTGCAAGAAGATCAAACCTCTCCATTCTTAAGGAAATCAGCCCTGAGTGCTCACTGGAAGGACAGATCCTGAAGCTGAGGCTCCAATACTTTGGCCACCTCATGAGAAGAGAAGACTCCCTGGAAAAGACCCTGATGTTGGGAAAGAGAAGGGGATGACAGAGGACGAGGTGGTTGGACAGTGTTCTCGAAGAGACCAGCATGAGTTTGACCAAACTGTGGGAGGCAGTGGAAGACAGGAGTGCCTGGCGTGCTCTGGTCCAGGGGGTCACAAAGAGTCGGACACGACTAAACGACTAAACAACAACAACAATTTTCATTGGAGAAATGTTGGAGGGCATGGCATTGAACTGGGGGAAAGCCAGGAAATGGCTACTTCTGCCCCAGTTTGGCCCTTTAATGGTTAAAGCCACAGAGCATGCATTCCTAGAGAGGAAGGAGGAAAGGAGACCTCATGGGGGACATCCCCTAGGCAGTGCACCTTCCTGTCCGTTCTCTTTTGTGTTCCCCACTGGTGGGGAAAGAATAGGAGACCCATTCCTGTGAGTTAGAAAGGTGCGAGGTGGGGTGACAGGCATGGTCTTCCTTGGGAGGCCATGGCCAGGCTGAGCAGGAGGGTGGAGGAAGACGGCTGGGAAGTGGAAGGACCCAGTGCAAGAGGGAGAAACAGACAGACTTCTGCTGCAGGGAGCAATAAAACCTCAAAATACATTTGCAAAGCTAAGCAGGGTCCGCTGTGGTTTCACATCGGAAGGGGAGCCTGCGTGTTGAGATGGGGTGCGCAAGAGGGGAGGGGAGCCACTGCCCGTGAACCCCACAAATCCCCTTCATTTTCTAGCATTGGTCTGATTCGGGGAGAGGCAGCTCCCTTGGCTCCAGTTTAAAGGGCTCTGTGTTCATGAGGACCGGGGTCTTTCTTTGAGGGTCCATAAATAGCAACACCCTAGTGGTCCCAGGCCCTAAGGAAGTCAGATTAGCCTCAACCAGAGCCAGGGCCTTTTCAACACTGGCTCCGGCCTGGTGGAACGCTCTGTCTCATGAGACCAGGGCTCTGCAGGATCTGATTTCTTTCCACAGGGCCTGTAAGACAGAGTTGTTCCGCCTGGCCTTTGGCTTAGAATCAATTTGACCCCTCCCCCACTTTCTTTCTTTCTTTCTTTTTTCCTTTCTCCTCCTGTGATAAGGCTGCATTTTAATATTTTAATGTTGTATTTTAATCTTGTTTTTAAGTTGTATTTCAATCAACTTGTTTTATTATTGGTTGTTAGCTGCCCTGAGCCCCGTCTTGGCTGGGGAGGGTGGGGTATAAATAAAATTTATTTTTATTATTATTATTATTATTATTATTATTATTATTATTATGTGAGGGATCACCACTCAGGGAAGGAGTGCATGCGGAACTTATTGAGTTCAATCTTGGATATCTCCAGGTAAGGGCTGGGAGCGGGCCCTATATGAAATCCTGGAGAGCTACTTGCCTGTTGGTGTGACAGTCCCAAGCGCCCACTTACCTGTGGGTACAGCAGCATTCTCATCCCCCCGGTAGCTCATATGCAAAAGAAATCTTAATGGTTGATTAAGGGAATGGATTTGGCTTGGCGGCAGAGCAGCTGCTCTGTGTGGAGAAGGTCCCCTGGGATCTCCAGGTTAGGCTGTGACGTTCCTTGCCTGAAAGCCGTGGAGAGCCAATGATCCCACAGCAGAGAGACTAATTTGAGATAATGACGCTTCCTAATTATTTAAATAGCTCTTCACAGAACAATGAGGACGAGAATCTTACTTAATCTTTAAGGAAAGGGACTACAGATGAGTGGTAGAGCACCTTTCAGAATGTTGCACTTCAATCCTTGGTTTCGGGGGAAACACCTTTGCCTGGAACCTTGGAGAACCGATGTCAGTCAGTGCCTGGAATCTTCCTTCCCCCCTGCAGAATTCCCAGAGTTCCCTGGGATGAAGGATTGCTTCTCAGGGGCGCCGACTTATAAAAAATATTGGGGGGGCCATACCGGGGAGGGTGGAGCCAACTAGGCTGGCGGGGGCGGGCGCGGCCGGTGCAGAGAAAGCCGGAGCGGCGACTGCGCTTTGAACCCGCTGTCAGTCAGCCGGGGCTGAAAGGCAGACTTTCTCCCTCGGCTTGTCGTTTGCCCGGCCGCCCCTGTGGGATCCCACCGGGGAGGCGGAGTGCTGAATGCCGTTACAGTTTTATTTTGGGCGCCTCCGGTCTCCTCCTCCTGCTTTTCCCGTGCTCCATCCCCTCGGCGACTTCACGCTTCCAGTAGAGAAGCTGCGCGCAGCTCCGGGCGGTGGATGGGAAGACCCCCTCGCGGGTTTTTCACGCCTGGAGAGCGCCGGTTCGGAGCGGGTCGCAGTTTCCGCTGTTGCCGGCCGAGCAGGAGCGCCGAAGAACCAAGAGTGGGCGGGGACGAAGGGAGACGAAGCCGGGAAGTGACGGAGGCGACAGAAGGTAGCGGCGCGCGTCACCTTCTATCCGAGGCGCGTGGAAGCGGAATGAAGCGGCTGGCAGAGAATCACCGGGGGGGGGGGCGTAATGAGGCCGAACTAATAATTTTCTTAAATTATTGGGGGGGCAGAGCCCCCCCAAATGATTTTTTGAGGGGGCTCGGGCCCCCTCAGGCCCCATGGAGTCGGCGCCTATGTTGCTTCTTAAGCCACACTGGGAATTGTAGCTGTGTAAATTGGGGCTTCCTAGCAACACTCAGCACCCTTGACAAACTACAACTCCCAGTATAATTTGGGGAAATGCTGTCTTTTTAAAGCGGTTTCACCCCACTTTAAATGTCTAGTGCAGATGGGGCCTACAAAGTGCCCTGTTCCATCAGTTGCCTCACTTTTGTCTGTTTCGATTCCCATTTCTTTCAGTGTAAAGAAGCTTTTGCCAGAAGTGGGGGAAAGATTTCAGCTTCCATGTGACCCTTCTTTGGCCAGAGACTTGCCGCTGACTGAGAGGCAACACTCCATCACATGTTCCCAGGAACCTTGTTCTTGTGCTGACCCACAAATTAACAGGGGAAACGTTTTGTCCTTTACACAGAAGACGACTGAGGGACATCTCCCTGTGAGTGAAAATGGCTGCAGAGCAGGGAGCAGAAATCCCAGCAGCCTCTCTGGGTCTCCAGCTCCAGTTGGCACCAGAGGCCAGTGTGAAGCCAGGAATTAAAACGGAGCAGGCGGAATTGGGAAGGTTGGCACCAGAGATGGCACTGGAAGGGACTGTCTGTCTTGGGGGCACAGAGGGACTGCATCCGAGCCAGACGGAGCCACAACGTATCAAAGAGGAGCCGGGAGAGGAGCTCTCGTCCCGGCAATGGGAAGCCCAGTGGCAGGAATTCCTCCGGACTGTGCAGGCCCCACACTCTGGGGGAGAAGGAAGCCCACAGCTCCTAGGGGATGGGGCATGGGGCGAGGCAAAGCCTTCTGGGTCCTCCTTTGAGGGAGCAGCCATTCCCAGCCAGTGGGCTGGAGCAGGAGACAGCAAGACCAGTCTCCCTCCAGGAACAGCTCAACCGGTCACTTCCAGACCAGCCGCTGCCAGCCAGGGAAACATCGGGCAAGCGAAGGAAATCAAGATGGAGGACGTCAGCAGCTCTGAGGCTCATCGCCAGCTCTTCAGGCAGCTCTGCTACCAGGACGCCCAGGGCCCTCGCGAGGTCTACGGCCTCTTGAGGGAGCTTTGCCATCAGTGGCTGAGGCCAGAGAAGCACACCAAGGAGCAGATCCTGGACCTGGTGATCCTGGAGCAGTTCCTGGCTGTCCTGCCCTTGGAAATGGGGAGCTGGGTGAAGGAGCGAGGCTCAGAGGGCTGCGTCCTGGCCCTGGCCGAGGAATTCCTCCTGAGGCACCAGGAGGCGGAGAAAGTGGGACAGCAGGTGAGAGAAGCATTTGGGGGTCCAGAGTCGACAAAGGGGTTAAAGAAGTGGCCATTAGCTTGCAAACCAGTATTCAAATTTGTATCTTTATTTAACTTTTTAAGGAACTGCCAGGAGGGGTCAAAATGGTCTGTAATACATGAGATAAAGTACAAACTGCCTATAAAAACAACTGATAATGCACAAAAATACTGGGCTGCATTTCACAAGCCTGGTCGCATTTGTTCATGCATTGGTATCCTTGAAGCTTGATTACTGCCGTGCTTTCTGTGTGGGGCTGCCCTTGGGACTTGTATAGAAACTCCAGCTGGTGCAGAATGCAGGTGTCCCGCCGAGGTTGAATGGAAAATGTTACTCTCTTTCAGGGACTGGGTGCCATTGAAGAAGGGGCAGTGTGCACTTCCAAAGAAGAACATTCCTTGCTGGATCCGGGCCGAAGACTTGAGCCCAGGGAAGTCCTGCAGAATTATGAAAACAAGGCCCCTTTGGGTAAAAACACACATTCTCCCTATCCCAATCTGTTGTGAGTTTTTCCACGAAATTGTATTCTAGATTTGGCTCTTTAGCTCTGCTCTCTGTGCATCTGTCGGATTTGTTGTGCGCCAAGGTGATTCAGGTTGGACACAAGAAAATGCTTCCCCCCTCCAGCCCGTACAAGGCAGGCCATTCCCGATTTGCACAGGGCTGGCATTCTGGGTCACTGTCTGCGATGGCGGGGGGACGCGGGTGGCGCTGTGGGTAAAACCTCAGCGCCTAGGACTTGCCGATCGCATGGTCGGCGGTTCGAATCCCCGCAGCAGGGTGAGCTCCCGTCGTTCGGTCCCAGCTCCTGCCCACCTAGCAGTTCGAAAGCACCCTTAAAAAAAGTGCAAGTAGATAAATAGGTACCGCTTTATAAAGGTAAATGTACCCCTGCCGGTACGGGCCAGTCGTGTCCGACTCTAGGGTTGTGCGCTCATCTCACTCAAGAGGCTGGGGGCCAGCGCTGACCGAAGACACTTCCGGGTCATGTGGCCAGCGTGGCGAAGCTTCATAGCGGGAAGGTAAATGGCGTTTCCGTGTGCTGCGCTGGTGCTGGCTCGCCAGAGCAGCTTCCTCACGCTGGCCACGTGACCCAGAAGTGTCTTCGGACAGCGCCGGCTCCCGGCCTCTAGAATGAGATGAGCGCACAACACTAGAGTCTGTCAAGACTGGCCCGTACGGGCAGAGGTACCTTTACCTGCGATGGCGGAGTGTGCATAAGCTCACTCTTCCCCATTATGCCCCTGCCACGCCTCTTTTCCCGACCATTTCTAGGTCACCACCATGTACGCATGCGTAGTCGTGCATCAGTTAGACGCAAGTAAACCAGCTTTTGGATGTGCATAGCTAAAACTCTGGCATTTTCACATTCAATATTTATTTATTTTATAAAACTTGTTTAGCGCCCTTCCTCTGAAGATCAAAATACATAATACAGTGGTACCTCAGGTTAAGTACTTAATTCGTTCCAGAGGTCTGTTCATAACCTGAAACTGTTCTTAACCTGAAGCACCACTTTAGCTAATGGGGCCTCCTGCTGCTGCCGCACCACCGGAGTAAGATTTCTGTTCTCATACTGAAGCAAAGTTCTTAACCTGAGGTACTATTTCTGGGTTAGTGGAGTCTGTAACCTGAAGCGTATGTAACCCGAGGTACCACTGTAAAGACAAAAGCAAAGCTAACCCAGACACTATGGAAAGGAATATGCAATGGTGGCCACAATTTTGGGGAGCAGGGAGAGTGCCTGTGAGAAGTGGGTCGTAGCTCAGTGAGTGTCCCAACTCAAATTTAAACGCTACAATAGAAGCTCTTAGGTGAGAGCAAAAAAGGCGCTTTCTTCGAAGCTTGCAACGACCCATGTACAGATCACCAAAGGTGCTGGCTGGAGAGTTCACAGACAGCATCAGGGGTCCACTGCCAGGTGATTTTTGCTACTTCTGAGTTCCCTTTTCAGCCCAGCACCCCCCTTCCATGGACCCCCAAATGTCATAGAGGGTTAGGGGACCTATGGCACAAGGTGGGAAATGGCACAGGGCAGTATGAGAAAGGGAGGGAATCTTGAACAAATTTGGGGCAGAGGTCGGTAAGGTTTACTTCTGCTTTAATTTGTTCTATTGCGTATTTTGATTATAGATGTTTATATTTTTAACATCTGTACTACTGGATTTTTCACTCGTTCGAAGCCTGGTTTGACATTACGGAGCCATTAAGCATTAAGCCTATTTTGACATCCATCATAATTTTGCGGTTTTGGCAACTTGCTCATTCTACGGTTCCTTTCCCCCCCCCCCCCACTTCTTAACAGATTGCTGGCAGGTAGATGAACGCCAAGAGGGAAACCCCCCACTTGAGAGAGCCATGGAAGGGGCGACTTTGCAGAGCTGTGTCCAAAGGAGAACAGCGGAGAAGACACCTTCCTGGGGCGAGGAGCGGGAAGAGACTTCCGAGCATCAGCCGAGACCAAGAAAGCAGCAGAGGAACCGCCCCAAGAACAGGCTGAGCAAGTCCATCTCTTGCGCCGTCCACCTTCTGCAGCACCCGTGGACCCAAGAGGCCACGAAACTGCACCGGTGCTCTTACTGCGGGAAGAACTTTGACGGCCCGTCGCACCTAATCATCCACGAGAGGAAGCACACCGGGGAGAAGCCCTATAGCTGTGCCACATGCGGGAAGAGCTTCAGCCGCAATTGGAGCCTGGTCATGCACGTGATGACCCACACAGGCGAGAAGCCCTACAAGTGCTCAGCCTGCGGGAAAGGCTTCCGGCAGAAGTCCGCCCTCACCATCCACCAGAGAACCCACACGGGGGAGAAGCCCTACAAGTGCTCAGCCTGCGGGAAAAGCTACATGTGCAACTCGCGCCTCGTCGCGCACGGCAAGAAGCACTCCAAGGAGAAGCCCTAACAGTGTCCCTCGTATGGGAAGAGCTTCCGCTGCAACTCCCAGCTCGTCCAGCACCAGGGGGTCCACACGGAGGGGAAGCCGTAGAAGCGCTCTTGTCTGCGGGAAGAGCTCCAGCTACAAGTCAGACCTTCTCTGACATAAGAGAACCCACCGTTAGAGGGGGGATTTCTTCTGGTGGCGGACGACAGAACCATGAGACCGGTGTAAAACACTCAAACAAAGGTTTTATTACAGCTATACAAAACAACAAACACAAAGCATGTTGGGGTTATCTCTCTGCAGGCAAATTCAAACTGCAATTTCTCCTCTTTTTATACTCATCACCAGCTGTACCTAACCAGCCTAGAAAACCACTCACAGAAACAGTTCTTAAAGTTACAATCATTTTTTCTGTATGACTCCTAACACCCCCCTCTCATTCAAACAGATACAGAAAAAAAACAGTACTTTAAACATATACAAAACATATTTATACATCATGCACAACAATTCCTAATTTTGCCACTAGCTGTGCATGTTTCACAAAGTTAGTGCTTTCGTAAATATATCAGCCACATTTTATATGCTCTCACAGTATTTCAGCATTATCAGGTTTTGTTTAACATTTTCATTTACATTCTGATCTTTAATCTCCAAATGTTTTGATTTGTTTTGTTGAACTGCTCAGACCCAGACAAAGTTATTACAGCTTGATTTTCTTCCCATATTTGAACTGGATAATCACATTGTATATCTAAATAATTGAGGATTTGAACGTAATATTTTATTTCATTACACAACTCCGATAAAGCACAGTATTTAGCCTCTGTTGAAGACGTGGTCTCGATTCCTTGCTCTTTGGACTTCCAACCTATCAAGGAATCCCCAAATTGAAACACCATGCTGGAAATGGATTTTCTATCAGGCAGGTTGGCCCAATCGCTGTCAATGTAACACTGCAATTTTGTAGACCCTGAAGATGGTAATCTTAAACAATAATCAAGTGTAAGTTTTAGATACCAGAAAATACGTTTTAAACCCTTCCAGGCATTTTCTGTGGGGTAGCTTACTAGTCTGCTCAGTATTCCAACTGTATAACTCAAATCTAGTCTGTTCCACAATGAAATGTATAATAAACTTCCAACTATTGAATGGTACATTTCAGGATTTACTGGTTCTGTGCATTCTCCTTCATTATTGAAAAAACCTATTTCCATTGGGGTTTTTGCTCCCTTGCTATTTTGCATATTGTTCTTTCTAGAAATTCCATTATTTTATCTTTTTGACTCAACAAAAAACTTCCATCGTTTGTCCTTTGAATTTCTAGACCGAGATAATTTTTCACTGGTCCCAAATCTCTTACTTTAAATTCCTTTCTTAGTTGTTCTGCAAATTTTTGCACTTGCTTGTCATTTTTTTGTAGAATAAAGCAAATCATCAACATAAGACAAACATAATTCTTGTTTATCACCCTTTCCTTTAGTGTACAAGCAATTATCAGCTAAGCTACTTTTAAAGCCAATATTTTTTAAAGCATTATTGAGACACTTGTTTCAATTTCTAGCTGATTGTTTGAGCCCATAGATTGCTTTGTGTAACCTATATACAGAATTCTGTTCGCCTGCCTCAAATCCTGGTGCTTGATTCATAAAAAAATTCTTCGTGCAATTTTGTGCTAAGATAAGCTGTTTCAATATCAAAATGATTTACTTTAAACCCACGTTGTGCTGCAATAGCTAGCAATAAACATACATGTTTGCTCCTTGCAGTAGGAGAAAAGGTTTCATCAAAACTTTCACCTTTTCTTTGCGTAAAGCCTCGTGCTACCTGCCTAGCTTTGTACTTAACACTACCATCTGCCAAGTGTTTTATTTTATACACCCATCTACAGTCCACTGCCTTTTTTTCCTTCTGACAATGGCTCAATAGTAAACACATTATGTTCTGCCAAAGATTTCATTTCTGCTCTCATTGCATTTTCCCACATTACTATTTCCTGGTGTGGTAACTTTAAAACCTCCTCATAATCACAAGGTTCTTTCTTCACCTCAACAGTTTTAACTTCTTGTATAGTAAACCTTTGTGGAGGTACCCCCTTATTGCTTCTTTGTGATCTTCTAACTTGAACAGTTTCCCCCTCTGAACTATCTTCCCCTTTTAATTCATCTTGCTCAGGAGAAATTGGTTCAGCTTTAGGAGATTGTGTACTGGGACTCTCATCCCCTGATTCCTCATCACTATCACTTTCAGAACTTTCTTGAATTTGTGGCTTTTCTTAGACTTCACAAATTTATCTGTATCATCTGAAGATAAAACTTCTGAATTTCCATGTAAATGAGCCCAACCATCTTGCTCACAAAATTTTGCATGTCTTGATATCACAACTCTGCCACGCCCTAGTGCAAAACGATACCCCTTTGACCATCTTTGATAGCCAACAAATCTAAGTCTCTTTGCCTTGGGATCTCCTTTCCTTCTCTGTCCTTTTGGGATGTGAACCCAAGCCCAACAACCAAAAGTTGGTCAAAAAAGGCTTTTTCCCATAAAGCAAAAAATGAGGGGTATTGTTTATGGTAGAATGAAACAATCTGTTCTGTATGTAATTAGCACAGAGAGTTGCTTCCCCTCCAAACTTCCTGGATAAGCCAGACTCACATAACATAGATTCTAGCATTGTTTGTAAAGACCTTATCTTGCGTTCTTCAATTGAATTTTCTTCGGGTGAAAAGGGACACAATTTACAGTGACTAACACGTTTTTTCAACCGTATCTGGGGGGCTTCAGACATGAACTTGCCTCCATGGTCACTCTGCAGTTGGGTATCTTTGTAGGGAAACTTCCTTTCTATATAGTTGACCCAATTTTTAATCAGTTGACCAGTTTCACTTTTGCGTTTTAACAAGTATACCCAAGTATACCGGCTATAATCATCCACAAGAACCAGAAAAAACTTTGCTCCTCCTTCAGATTCTGCAAATGGCCCACAAAGGTCTGAGTGTACTAAAGCAAATGGCTTCTTGCTAATTCTATTACTTTCAGGATAAGATCTCCGCTTAGACTCCTTGCAGGTATTGCAGTCCAGAAAAACTGAACATTTCCGGAGTTATGGTGAGGTGTTGTCGCCTTCCTCTCATGGCGTCTTTCCTCTGCATCAAGCAAATGCCCTGTTAAGAAATGCATCATTAATTGGTTTTCTGGAATTGCCTCCAGCATCATCACTAAATAATCCCATGACTTGGGAAGTGAAGACAGCACAATATAAACCTTTCTCTGCTCAGAAAAATGTTCCCCAAGTTCATTTAACTGTGAAAATAAATCATGCATTCTTTGAAGGTGTTTTGAAACACATTCACCCTCACTTAGTCTGGCTCGGTACAGAGCTCTCATTAGAGTAAATTTGCTGCCAGCAGTGTCTCTAATGTGTATTGCTCTCAGTGCTTTCCAAATCTCACTTGCTGCTTCAAGGACATGAGATAATTGAGACTTCTCTAAACTCAAAATTAGATTGGCATATGCTTTGTCCTCCAGTCTTTGGTCTGCTTCATCTAACTCTTCATACTTCTCTTTTACAGGAGCATTAACAATAACAGTCCAACATTGTTCTTTCTTTAAAAATGCCTGCATCTGTAAACTCCATGACATATAATTGGATTCTCCCAGTTTCTCTACTGGAAAACATGAAGCGCCCCCTTGAGCTCCAGCTCCAAGTCCAGCCATGGGTCCACCCAGCTTTCAGTTTTCCACTCAGTCTTTACTCACACGTGGCTTGAAGAATTGCTCGGCTCCTGATCTCAAACAGACACTCCCTGCCGATGCCTTCACACAGCCAGCTGCTTGAGAAACGCTGAGTCACTTCCAATCTCTGGGTTCTTTTCCACGCTCTGGCTCTGCCCACTCAGGACTGGTGCCCATAACCTGTTACAGGGGGGTTTCTTCTGGTGGCCGACGACAGAACCACGAGACCAGTGTAAAACACTCAAACAAAGGTTTTATTACAGCTATACAAAACAACAAACACAAAGCATGTGGGAATTTGCCTCTCTCTGCAGGCAAATTCAAACTGCAACTCCTCCTCCTTTTGTACTCATCACCAGCTGTACCTAATCAGCCTAGAAAACCACTCACAGAAACAGTTCTTAAAGTTACAACCATCTTTTCTGTTTCTTTGCAGAATGACTCCTATCACTCACATGCGGGAGAGACCTTACCAGTGCGACAAGTGCGGGTGGGGTTTCGTTTGGAAATCGCAGCTCGTGAGCCACCAGTGGATGCACAGGGAAGAGAAGCCTTGACGCAGGAACCCGCTTGCTTTGGGGAAAGCGTTTGTCATCACTCACTTCATATGAGGAGGCAGAAGGAACAGAGGAAGCTGCCCTTCTACCCAACCAGGCCGTTGGGTCCATCCAGCATACAGTTGCCACACTGACTGGCCGTGGCTGTCCAGGATTCCAGGCAGGGTTCTCTCTGAGACCTGCCTAGAGATGCCACAGATTGAGCGTACGCAAAGCAGTTACTCTGCAAATGAGCTATGACCATTCCCCATTTCTACCAAAATACCTGCCTTATTAAAATGCTCCACGCATTAGGTGTGTGGCAACCATGGGGAGCCTTGAATCCACAGCTCTGGCTGACTTCAGAAGGTCTCTTTGTCTCGCCCCGATCACCAGTTTCTTAATAGCTTCAGTCTGGTTCCCGAGCAAGACTTCCAAACTGAGCTCACACCACAAAACCCCCAGTTCTACGATACTCACAGGTTCCCTGTTAATGTCGAGTTGACGCTCCCGAATTATTATTTTTCTCCATTATTTTTATTAAATTTTCAGTTTTACATTTTAGAATATTAATTTAAACAACCTTAAAATATCAATGACTTCCCTTCTCTTTCCATGGTTCATTTTGCATAGCATAAATCCCTGCGTATTTTCTATTAACTAAACCATTCAGTATTCCTTTATTGCATCCATCAAAACTTATTTACACGGTTGAATTCATCTTAATGCAGCCCACGTTTTCAAAAATACACATCCTCCCCCCACCATATATTCAATAAACATTTTCCAATCTACTTCAAACATATGTTCTTCTTGTTCTCTTATTCTATATGTTAGGTCTGCAAGCTGCACATATTCCATCAGTTTAAGTTGCCATTCTTCTTTAGTTGGGACCTCACTCCTTTTCCATTTAGGGCTAACCAAGCACGGGCTGCAGTAGTGGCATACATAAATAACCTTTTTCGACACCTGGGAATTTCCATCTGAATTATCCCCAACCAAAAGGACTCTGATTTTTTTGGGAAAGTACTTCTAAACATTTTTTTTCAATTCATTATGAATTCTTTCCCAATACTCTTACCCTTTTACAGGTCCACCACATATGATAGAACGTACAGGTGGCGCTGTGGGTTAAAGCCTCAGCACCTAGGACTTGCCGATCGAAAGGTCGGTGGTTCGAATCCCTGCGGCGGGGTGCGCTTCTGTCGTTCGGTCCCAGCGCCTGCCAACCTAGCAGTTCGAAAGCACCTTCGGGTGCAAGTAGATAAATAGGGACCGCTTACTAGCGGGAAGGTAAACGGTGTTCCGTGTGCTGCCCTGGCTTGCCAGAGCAGCGATGTCACGCTGGCCACGTGACCCGGAAGTGTTTGCGGACAGCACTGGCTCCCGGCCTATAGAGTGAGATGAGCGCACAACCCTAGAGTCTGGCAAGGCTGGCCCGTACGGGCAGGGGTACCTTTACCTTTACCTTTACCTTTACACTCAGTCGCATTGCATCTCCTGAAAATGACACTCCTGAAAATAGATCTTTTCCTTGTAGACTTTAGAAGGATAAATAAACTGAAACCATTCCCTGCCTCTCGAAGCATTCTCTCTTAATGCTGCTAGCAGTTCTGAATTTGTTGTCTCTTGTTTGGCTCCTCCCTGTTTCTCGTGACGCCCTTTGGGAGTCTGTCAGTTGAGGATGGCCAGCAGAGTCTCTGGCTAAGCCCAAGCGGCTGTGACATGTAGTTCCTCTTCTGCAAGCACCAGTGAAATGAGTCCTTACCTTCCGAGGATTGGCTCCCAGGGCCATTCTGCAAAAGGTGCACAAGGATGAAAACCTGCTGCTCCTCCTTACGCCCCGAAGCTAAGCAGCCAGGAACGCTTAAAGCATGTCAGCTTCAAGAAACTGCCGAGTGAGTTCTGTTGGCTATAATAATAATAACAATAATAATTTATTATTTATGCCCCAGCCACTCTTCAGATGTTTATTTCCTTTACATCTGGAGGGAGGGCGTTCCACAGGGCAGGTGCCATCACCGAGAAGGCCCTCTGCTTGGTTCCCTGTAACCTCACTTCTCGCAGTGAGGGAACTGCCAGAAGGCTCTTGGAGCTGGACCTCAGTGTCTGGACTGAGCGATGGGGGTAGAGATGCTCCTTCAGGTATACTGGGCCGAGGCTGTTTAGGGCTTTGAAGGTCAGCACCAACACGTTGAATTGTGCTCGGAAATGTACTGGCTGTGCCTCCACGATCAGGCCTCTTAATGCCACTCTCTGCAAAGGCTTTTATGTTGCTTGGTCAAACTCGCACGGCATCCCTAACCTTGCACATGGTCCCACCGCTTTATTTACTTGGTTTTTCAAATTACAGTTTTACAATCACATATCCAACATACAACACAGAAACAGGATTCCAAAGAATCTCTTGGACTTCCTTCCTCCCCTTTGTGGGTCCTATTGTTAAGCCTTCCTTCCGGCATCTTTTATAATAATCCAGATCTTTCACATCTCCATTTTGTCCAAAATTCACCATTAAACTACAAATGTTATTCCAATCCGACTAACAATTTTAACTGTTTACAATGGTTTTTTAAGGTAAATTATAAATTTTCCCCATTCCTTATTAAAATGTTGGTCTTCCTGATTTCTGATTCTTTCGGTAATTTTAGCCATTTCAGCCTAATCCATCAATTTAATCTGCCATTTTTCTCTGCTTGGGACTTTTCTTTCCATCTCTGAGCCAATAACATCCTCCACCACTTCCTTTTCAAATTGGACAAGAGTGGGATCTCTGAAGGCTAAGAAGAGCCACGATTGGCAGCAGATCTTGTCCTCCTGGGACAGCAGAACCAGAAGGATGCAAGCAAAGAAAACATCTATGCAAATGATGGTGACGCATCTTAATTTTCAGGGAACATACCCTTCCATATAATTTATTTCTGTGGGTGGGGTTGTCTGTGTTTGTGAGGGAGAGAGATATCGGCAAAGATAGCAAACACTGAGATTCTCTGTTATTTGTTGTTGTTTAGTCGTTTAGTCGTGTCTGACTTCGTGACCCCATGGACCAGAGCACACCAGGCACCTCTGTCCTCCACTACCTCCCGTAGTTTGCTCATGCTGGTAACCTCGAAAACACTATCCAACCATCTCGTCCTCTGTCGTCCCCTTCTCCTTGTGCCCTCCATCTTTCCCAACATCAGTGTCTTCTCCAGGGAGTCTTCTCTTCTCATGAGGTGGCCAAAGTACTGGAGCCTCAGCTTCAGGATCTGTCCTTCCAGTGAGCACTCAGGGTTGATTTCCTTAATCAATTCTTCGGCGATCAGCCTTCTTTATGGTCCAGCTCTCGCTTCCATACATCACTACTGGGAAAACCATAGCTTTAACTATACGGACCTTTGTTGGCAAGGTGACGTCTCTACTTCTCAAGATGCTGTCTAGGCCTGTCATTGCCCTTTTCCCAAGAAGCAGGCGTCTTTTAATTTCGTGGCTGCTGTCACCATCTGCAGTGATCATGGAGTCCAAGAAAGTAAAATCTCTCAATGCCTCCATTTCTTCCCCTTCTATTTGCCAGGAGGTGATGGGACCAGTGGCCATGATCTTCGTTTTTTTGATGTTGAGCTTCAGACCATATTTTGCGCTCTCCTCTTTCACCCTCATTAAAAGGTTCTTTAATTCCTCCTCACTTTCTGCCATCAAGGTTGTGTCATCTGCATATCTGAGGTTGTTGATATTTCTTCCGGCAATCTTAATTCCAGTTTGGGATTCATCCAGCCCAGCCTTTCGCATGATGCATTCTGCATATAAATTAAATAAGCAGGGAGACAAAATACAGCCTTGTCGTACTCCTTTCCCAATTTTGAACCAATCAGTTGTTCCATATCCAGTTCTAACTGTAGCTTCTTGTCCCACATAGAGATTTCTCTATTATATTCTCTGTTATACCCAATTGCAATTCCATGTATTCCTGTTGTGTTTTATGATTTTCCTGATATTGTAAGTGGGCCAGAACTGGTCTGTGACCGTAATAATAAAATTCAATTCAATTCAACACTGAGATTCCTGCATTGGAGGGGGTTGGGCTGGATGACCATCGGTGTCCCAACACTACTATTCTCTGATGAAAAGACACAAAATACATAACAAAAATAAGATCAAGGGCAAACCGATAATTCCAACAACACATTAAAACACTTTGCTCCTAAAGTTGTACACATTACATAATACAATATAAATACCACAGATACGTAATAAAAATAAGAACAGAACAGAACTAGCAACCCCTCCCTTCCACAACACAACACCTCGAAGGAAAGAGAAAGAAACGCATTTTTAAAATAATAATAATAATAAAACAAAATTTTTTTTAAGGAGTAGTCGCGACGGTTTGCCCCGATTAGTGAATACGTAGCGAGATCGTAGTTGTTTCTGCAGCCGCAGCTGTTTCTAATCCCGAAGTGGTTAAAACGAGAGAGTCCGGCTGCGCTTCCTAGAGGGGGCGCAAAGGAAGGAAGCCAGCCAAGGGCAGAGGAGAGTGACAGCTCCTTTCCTGTCCCGCCCCCTTCCCTGGGAGTAAAAAGAGGGGGGGTCTTTGTTTGCAGCAGGCCTGCTGGAAGGAGCTGGTGAGTTGCGTGGCCACCTGTCTTGGATGCTTCGGCTGAGATTCCTGCATTGCAGGGGGTTGGGCTAGATGACCCCTGGGGGTCCCTTCCCAACTCTCAGATTGCATGATTCTAGAAGTGGGGAGCGCCTTTGAGCGGAGGGGAGAGGAAGGGGCAAGGCAGGTGGGCGGGCTGCTGGCTGGCTGGCTGGCTGGCTGGCTTGCTTGCTTGCAAGGAGGAGCCCTGCCCTCCTGGCCCAGGATCCTGTCCTCACAGTGGGCAAGACCTCCCCCCCCCCATGGGAAGCCCCTCTTGCAATTCCCTCCCATTGCAATTCCCCAAAGCTGGCCTTCAGAGGCATTTGCAGCCTCCTGGAGGGAGGACAGCAGCCCACATTTCTGCCCTGAAAATAGGGACGTCCGATTTCTTCTTCATCATCACCATCATCATCATCATCATATTATGGGCTACTTTTAAAATGAGGCTGCATTTTAAATTACATTTTAACCTGTATTTTAAGTTGGTCCCCCCCCCTCCCATTATGTTTTTACTGTAATTTTACTGATGTTAGCCACCCAGAACCCGGCTCTGGCCAGGGAGCGTAGGGTATAAGTAAAATTTATTATTATTATTTATTTGCACACCACCCATCTGACTGGGTTGCTGCTGGCACTCTGGGCAGCTTACAACATTTTTTTTTTTTAATGTAATTGAACATTATACGCAATTAAACATTGCACATTTGAGAGTGGGAAGCCCTGCCTGCAATTCTCCCCTCTTGCAGTTAACCAAAAACTGGCCTTCGGAGGCATTCTGCCTCGGGAGGTGGTATACTCTCCTTCCTTGGAGGTTTTCAAGCAGAGGTTGGATGGCCACCTGTCATAGATGCTTTAGCTGAGATTCCTGCATTGCAGGGGGTTGGACTAGATGATCCTCGTGGTCCTGTCCAATACTTAGAAGGAAAAAACCAGTATTCTGTATTATTGTAGTTTGAATATTGTGTTAAATAGATGATTCTTCATCCTGTTTATGGAATATGCTGCGTAATCTGAATCCTGAAATACAGTAATACGCTTTGGTATGGGCTGGGGGGGAATATATAGATGCCCGAATGAGATTGCCAATTTTATGGGACCGCCTCTCCTGGTATGCCCCACAGAGGACCTTAAGGTCCATGAATAATCATAGTTTAGAGGTCCCGGGCCCTAAGGAAGTCAGATTATCCTCCATCAGGGCCAGGGTCTTCTCAAGGATGGCTCCGACCTGGTGGAATGCTCTGTCCCATGAGACCAGGGCCCTGCAAGATCTTCCGCAGGGCCTGTAAGACAGAACTATTCCACCTGTCTTTCAATTTGAACTTAGCCTGATCTTTTATTCCCCTTCCTTCCCTCCCCTTCCCCTTTTTATGAAGATTGCCCGCTCTGGGATCCCATAGCTAATTCTCCCCTGGTCTCCTCGCTGGCCCAAATAAGACTAATTTAGCCAGCTAGCCTTTGTGATCATCTAATGTTTATTGGATGGATTTCCCCCCCAAATTGATTTTTGAATTCTCAATTTATTGTTATCCACATTTTATACTGTATTTTATGCTGTTTTTTTGTTGCATCAATTAAGTGTTTTAAATTTGTTGTTAGCTGCCCTGAGCCCGGTTTTCTGAACTGGGAAGGGCGGGGTATAAATAAAATTTTATTATTATTATTATCATTATTATTATTATCTGAATGCTCTGCTAGTGTAACATTTCATGTAAGATTTCCTGGCTCTCTGCTAGTTTAGAAGCCTAATCCATTTGGGTGATCGCAGGTGAGAAGGTGGAAAGAGGAGGATCCGTTTTGGGGGCCCAGGAGAGGGTGACCTCGGAGCGCGGCTGGGAAATGGAGGAACAAGCCTTGGCTAAGCTGAAAGCAGGAAGACGCCAGAATGTTATCCAGGCTGGGAGCAGCGGAGGATTCTGGGAAAGAACCACCCCAGAGTTCCTGGGTGAGGAGGATGCCCTCGGCTTGGATGCTCAATGTCAACGTTTCAGGCGCTTCTGCTACCAGAAGGCCGAGGGGCCCCGAGAGGTTTGCAGCCGACTCCACCATCTTTGCCACGAGTGGCTGAAGCCAGAGCGACACACCAAGGCTCAGATGCTGGACTTGGTGATCCTGGAGCAGTTTCTGGCTGTCCTCCCCACAGAGATAGAGAGCTGGGTCAGGGAATGTGGAGCGGAGACCAGTTCCCAGGCGGTGGCCCTGGCCGAAGGTTTCCTCCTGAGTCGAGCAGAGGAGAAGACGCAGACAGAGCTGCAGGTGAGAGAGGGTTCCGTTCTGGTAGTTCCAAAAGACAAAAGTGTGAGCATGAATAAAGTAAAAAAGACCCCACTAGTTTCCAAAAGGAGGAGGGAATCCAAGCCTCCAACACTTTGCCTACCCCTTTCCAGTGTGGTGAGAGCCAGTGTGGTGCAGTGGTTAAGAGTTGTAATCTGGTGAACCGGGTTCGCATCTCTGCTCCTCCACATGCAGCTGCAACCTTGGGCCAGTCACACTTCTCTGAAGTCTCTCAGCCCCACTCACCTCACAGAGTGTTTGTTGTGGGGGAGAAAGGGAAAGGAGAATGATAGCCGCTTTGAGACTCCTTCGGGGAGTGATAAAGCGGGATATGAAATCCAAACTCCTCCTCCTACTCCTACTCCTCCTCTTCTTCCTTTTCTCTTCCCACTCCCCATTTCCTTTTCCTTTTTTAAATGCTTGGACATGGCATGGATTTTTCAGCATAATAGCAAATTCAGAGGGCACAGTTTGTCTTACACATTTGTCACTTTTCTGGTATGTTTGTGTTCCTTTTCTAAAATAAGCAAGGAAAAGAGTTTCAGGCTTATGAATGTTCTGTCAAGTATAGGAATGCAAGAGAGTGTAAGAAGAGCCTGCTGGCCTGGATCTTGTGGAGATCTCTCGGTGCACCAGGCTGGCGACTGGCGAAAGCAAAATATCACTTGGAGAAGGATCTGAAATAAGCTCTAATTTGATTTGTTCTGGATTGTTTTGTTTTATGTTTTAATCAGGACCAACTGGTTAGAAACCAAAGGGTCCAAGTTACTCCGAACCAATTCCTGTTTTATGTTTGAATGTTGCAAATCACTTGGAAGATCTGTTCTGTAAAATGTAAAGCAGTACAGAAACGAAATTAATAATAATGATGATGATGTTCAATTGCAAAAAAAACCCAAACCGAACAAACTTTGGCGCCTGGACATTCCATTATTGTGACCGTAACCTAGGTTTAAAATGCCGTTTGGGGATTAGATTATACAGTCAAACCTCGGTTGTTGAACGTAATCTGTTCCGGAAGCCTGTTCGGCTTCCAAAATGTTCGACAACCAAGGCATGGCTTCCGATTGGTTGCAGGAGCTTTGGCTTCCAAAAAACGTTCGAAAACCAGAGCATTTACTTCTGGGTTTTTGTCATTTGGGAGCCAAAATGTTCCAAAGCAGAGGCGTTCAGGATCCGAGGTTTGACTGTATCTGATTTTCTAACACTGCTTCTGATTTTTTAGAACCTTTCTCCTGTGGCTGTAAGTTGTATTACGCGGTTTTAAGGCTGGGCTTTAATTGCTGTAACCCACCCTGGGTGCTTAGGGCAAAGGCCAAGAAATCAGTAATAATATTATCCCTCCTTTCTGCTCCAGGAGCAGGGACCTCTAGCTGAAGTTTCTCTGGGTTTCCGTGGGGCAGAGCAGGCAGCCTCAGCTCCCCGCGAGAGACGGCTCTTCAGGTGGATCGTGCAAGAGTGTGACCAAGCTGCCAACTCACTAGGTAAGGAAAACTGTCCCTGTCTCCATTTGTAAGAAATTATCTTTTAGTGTGGCAGCACCCGCAATCTCAAACTCCCTGGCTATCAATATCACTGTACTCTTTTTGACGACTGCCAAAAATATTTTCCTTTTTTCTTTTTTTATTTATACTTTTTAAATTTATACATTTAATTATTTTACAATCCATTTTAACATTTCAAAATGTGACTTTCTTCCCCTTCTTTCTGCAGTTCCTTAAATTTATTTTTAATATCTTCTGCATATCTAAATTCATTTAATTATCTACTGTAAATATATACTCAGGTTATTACAAGAATCCTGCCAATCTGTTTGCCAATCTGTTTGCAATTTATCTGTAAATATTCAATAAACCATTTCCAGTCTTTTATAAAGAGCTATCTTGATTTCTTATTTTTCCAGTAAGTTCCGCCATTCCCACATATTCCATAAGTTTTTGTATCCATCCTTCCTTTACTGGGACTTTTGCTTCTTTCCATTTTGGGGCAAGTAACATTCTTGCTGCTGTAGTTGCATACATAAATAAATTTCTATACAATTTAGGTAGTTCTGTCCCTATAATTCCCAAAAGAAAAGCTTCTGGGTTTGTTTTTTTATAAAAGTTATTTTGAACATCTTTTTCAATTCATTATATATCATTTCCCAGTAAGCTTTACCCTTACTACAAGACTACCACATATGATAAAAAGAACTTTTTTCTCTTTACATTTCCAACATTTGTTTGATTTAAATTTATACATTTTTGCCAATTTACTTGGTGTTTTCTCTCAGACCACAGCATACTGTAAATATTTTTATTTAGGCAAGCCAGGCTAGATGTTTAGACCTCTGGCTAAAGTTTTACTCTGTTTTCAGTCTATGGTTATTTTAACTTTTCAAAAGTCCCAAATTGTTGGTGTTGATTTTTAAGATAATGTGCGTGTGTAACAAAATACCCATAAGGATTGTAAAGCTGACACAACAAACAAGAAAACGTATGCAGCGTGATATCTGTAACACGCAAGACACAGATTACAGCTCAGAGTTAGGAGAAATATCCTAACCATAAGAGCAGCAGTCAGCAAACTTTTTCAGCAGGGGGCCAGTCCACTGTCCCTCAGACCTTGTGGGGGGCCGGACTATATTTGGTGGGGGAATGAATGAATTCCTGTGCCCCACAAATAACCCAGAGATGCATTTTAAATAAAAGCACACATTCTACTCATGTAAAAACACGCTGATTCCTGGACCGTCCACAGGTTGGATTGAGAAGGCAATTGGGCCGGATTCGGCCCCCGGGCCTTAGCTTGCCTACCCATGCATAAGAGCTTTGCAGCAGAGGAGCCACCTTTGCTGGTGCCCTCGAATGGGCCCACCTGTCAGGGATGTTGTAGCTTCACTGTGCACTGAGCAGGGGTTGGAATACATGACCTCCAGGCGTACCTGTAATTCTAAAATTCTATTTTAGCTTTCAGCCCTCAGTCCTCTGCAGCTAATGCGGGGGGAGGGGGGCACTCTGAAGTCAGGACATGTGGCAGGGTTTAATAAGAGAGATACCTGGGGGTTCATTCTTTTGTTGAAAAATATATATTATTGCAGCCAGCCTCTTACATTGAAATGTTCAGCTGCAGAGCCCAGTCTTGCGCCCTTTTCTGGCTAAAATCTCACTCCTAGGTAACACCCGCTGTTTTTGTGTTCCTCACAGGCAACAGAGTGACCCCGGCGACCCACACTCCTTGTGGCGGAGTGGAAACGGCGGCCGTGGGGCCTGGTCAGGTAGGGGAAAGAATCCCAGAGGGATCAATGGAGGCAGCTTGCATGCCTGGGCTCGGAAGGTTCCTGTCCCTTTGCTACAACGAAGGAAGCATCTAGAAGACGAGGGGAGTCTGTTAATGAAGAGCAACCCACGCCCCAGCCCCTAAGAACCTCAGCATAACTAGGCTTTCTGGTTGTGAACATGAGAACCTCAAGAGAGCCTTGTTGATGCTTGCAGCCAAAAAGGGCCCATCCAGTCCCAGCATCCTTTCTCATAGTGACCAAGCAGGAGATCCATTGGGAAACCGGGAAGCTCTCTGGGTGATGATATCACCTGGTGTCAGGCTTTGGGCAATCTGATCCCTCTCCCGGTGGCAGTAAATAAGCAGATCAAATGAAAGGAGCGTTCTTACCCAGTTAGTTTATTTAATAATCACAGCGAGAGACAAAGGAGTGCATATCTCCCTAGAAATGGCGTTGCTCCCAGTAAAGGTTTACCCCCTCCGTCCCCATTAATCTACGTCACTTCTACATTGGGTGATCTGAGCTTGTTGCCGCTGAGCTCTCTGTTCTGTCACTCTCAAAGCCTGCCTAGGCTCAGGAATGCTTTCCAAGGACACTGTCTCTCTCCTGGTGTTTCCTCTTCTAGTTGTTCCTCTCCCAGTATTTCCCAGCTTTTCCCCTCTAGACTGTGCCCCTCTGCAAACCACTGCTCTAAATCTATACTGTCCTCCTGCCCTTGGCAGGTTCAGGAGAAGGGGGAGGGCAGCTCCCATGACTCCTCCTCAGTCCAGCCCCTGACACCTAGGTAGCTCAGTTGGTTAGAGCATGGTGCTGATGATGCCAAGGTTGCAGGCCTGATCCCCATTCCTGCATGCAGGGGGTTGGATTAGATGATGTTCAAGGTCCCTCCCAACTCAACAATTCTATGGTTTTATTATTCTTTTTTGGTCTGGCCAGCTTCGCAGGGAAGTTTTTAATGTTTGATGTTTTTCCGTGTTTTTAATATTCTGTTGGGAGTCACCCAGAGTGGCTGGGGAAACCCAGCCAGATGGATGGGTTATAAATTATAATTATAATAATTATTATTACTACAATAATTATTAGCCACCTTCAGCCAATGCAGAATAGTCCCATCTAAGTTACTGGACTTGCCTAACCAGTTCATTTATTGCCGTGGACCTATACTTGAATAGAACTTGTTGTTGTTTAGTCGTGTCCGACTCTTCGTGACCCCCTGGACCAGAGCAAGCCAGGCACTCCTGTCTTCCACTGCCTCCCGCAGTTTGGTCAGACTCATGCTGGTAGCTTCGAGAACACTGTCCCACCATCTCATCCTCTGTCGTCCCCTTCTCCTTGGGCCCTCCATCTTTCCCAACATCAGGGTCTTTTCCAGGGAGTCTTCTCTTCTCATGAGGTGGCCAAAGTATTGGAGCCTCAGCTTCACGATCTGTCCAGTGAGAACTCAGGGCTGATTTCCTTCAGAATGGAGAGGTTTGATCTTCTTGCAGTCCATGGGACTCTCAAGAGTCTCCTCCAGCGCCATAATTCAAAAGGGCGCAACTCTTCATCGTGTTCCTCGCCCCCCACTTTTTAAAAAAGAGAATTTGTTTTTTTCTTCCTTCTCCTCCTCCAGGAACGGGTGTCCTTTGAGGATGTGGCTGTGTATTTCACAGATGATGAGTGGGCGTTGCTGGATCCAGCCCAGAGAGCCCTGCATGTGGAAGTTATGGAGGAGAATTGTGGGAACCTGACCTCTCTCAGTAAGGCTTCCTTTTTTTCTTTGACTTGGCAGATGCTGACAGTCGAAACGGCCGCCAGGATCAGAACCCAGCATCCTTTGCTTGGGTCCAGTTCTTGTGGCAGGCTCATGGGGGTCTCTTAGGAGACAGGGATTTGCCATCCTGTATGGACGCGGGTGGCGCTGTGGGTTAAACCACAGTGCCTAGGACTTGCCGATCAGAAGGTCGGTGGTTCAAATCCCCATGACAGGGTGAGCTCCCGTTTCTCGGTCCCTGCTCCTGCCAACCTAGCAGTTTGCAAGCATGTCAAAGTCCAAGTAGATAAATAGGTACCGCTCCGGCGGGAAGGTAAACTGTGTTTCCGTGCGCTGCTCTGGTTCGCCAGAAGCGGCTTAATCATGCTGGCCACATGACCCAGAATCTGTACGCCGGCTTCCTTAGCCAATAATCAAGATGAGTGCCGCAACCCCAGAGTCGTCTGCGACTGGACCTAATGGTCAGGGGTCCCTTTATCCTTTACCTTTATGGAGCCTCAAGCCTGCGGTGTCAAGGACTGGCTGGATGACAAATGGTGCGAGGCTCCAGCCGAGGAACCCTCTAGGGAACCCACAGAGGAAGAAGACTCAGACCCAGGGGAGAGGTGGTAGGACACAAAGACAAGTCAGAGGATCAGGGAATCCAAGAGGTGGACGAAAGAGGAGGCTTTCTATGACACACTGGGCAATAGATCTAGGACACAATATAGATTTCCATCCTAGGGTAAAATTTTGGAAGAGCTATCTGAAGTTTACTGCATGTTATTCCTTGTAGGAGAACTACCTGAAAATGATTTACAGATAGTATCTAATTCAGAGTAGAGTTGCTAAGATTTAGTGGGCCGTGTGGATGAGTTAACACCGGAGAAAAACTTACACCAAGTCGAATAAAAGTGGTCTATTTTTTATTAACTGTGAAGGAGTCCCCATTTTAGAACTTGAAAGGAACTGCTTGTTCTGTATTATTGCTCAGAATGGCATTAAACTCAGTTTTGCTCCCTAGGTTTGGGGTCCTGGTTTTCTCTCTTAGGCTCTTACCGATTTTCTCTCGCTGTTCTGGCAGGTGATGGCTGGGAGTTCGGCGCTCGGAATGAGGGAGACGCGCCTAGATTATTGCTGGAAAGAGCTGCTTGCGAACGGGAACTGGAAGAGCAGAGCAAGGAAACAGAAAGGGATGAGCAGATGAAGGATATTTCCTCTGCTGCCGTGGGGGGAGCTTTCCGTGAAGCCCCGGTCCTAGAGAAAAGAGAGAAAGGGAAAGAAGGCAGCGAGTGCCCGGTGTGCGGGGAAAGTTTCAGCTGCAAATCCAGCTTTAACGCTCACTTGAAAACGCACAAAGAGGAGAAACCGTACAAATGCTTGGATTGCGGAAAGAGCTTCTCTCAGAGGAAAGGCCTTATCCGACATCAGAGAATCCACACCGGGGAGAAACCCTATACCTGTCTGGAGTGCGGGAAGAGCTTTCGTCAGAGCGCAGCCCTGATCACTCACCAGCGTATCCACACAGGGGAGAAGCCGTACACCTGCTTGGAGTGCGGAAAGAGCTTCTGTCAGAAGACGACGTTGGTGAGGCACCAGCGGATCCACACAGGGGAGAAGCCATACGCCTGCTCAGAGTGCGGGAAGAGTTTCAGTCACAGGTCCCAGCTCACCTCCCACCTGAGAGTCCACACTGGGGAGAAACCATATAAATGCCTGGAGTGCGGGAAGAGTTTCAGTCAGAACACAAACCTTACTTTACATCAGAGAACTCACACGGGGGAGAAGCCGTTCCGGTGCTTAGAGTGCGGAAGGAGCTTCAGTCATAGCTCGACCCTTATGGCGCATCAGAGAACCCACACAGGGGAGAAGCCGTTTACGTGTCTGGAGTGCGGCCAGAGCTTTGCTCAGAACGCAAGCCTTATCTTCCATCAGAGAACTCACACGGGGGAGAAGCCATACGCCTGTCCCGAGTGCGGGAAGAGCTTCAGCACGAGCACCAGCCTCACCTCGCACCGGCGCATTCACACAGGGGAGAAGCCCTACACCTGCTCCGAGTGCGGGAAGAGCTTTTGTACGAGCACCAACCTTGTTACACATCAGAGAATCCACACGGGGGAGAAGCCGTACAAGTGCTCGGAGTGCGGGGAAAACTTTCGCAAGAAAGCGCATCTCCTTAGACATCACATGACACACACGGGGGAGAAGCCGTACAAATGCGCAGAGTGTGGGAAGAGCTTCAGCGAGAAAAGAAATCTCATTTCTCATCAGAGGATCCACTCTGAGTGTTGGAACGAGGATCCTGTAAGCAGTCATTGGATTCCTCCCTCTGTAGGTCCGGGATATGTCCCCCTTCCCCAAGATTCCAGTACTTTCCAGAGCCCTCTCAGTCATAATTCCAGCCCAGGAGAAAGATTGGAGTGTTTTAGTTTTTTCCTAAATGAGTAGATGGCAATTGGTCCAGCCTTGATGGGATGCAAATGAAAGGCACAGATAGGTTAAAATGGTAAAATAAAACAAATAAAGTTTAACGTAATGATAAATAGAACAAAAAGGAATAGGTCTAAATAAAACAAGCATTACTTTAAACAAAAGGGTTGTTGATAGAACAACTTAACAATAACATGACTAATCAAGTTTCTAGCTCTCATTGAGGGTTATGACTTCTATCAAAATGACTGCGCCTGTTCAGAGTTGCCAGCGCACAGCTGCTATCGATGGTAAACTGGTACAGCCAACTTTTGGCTGGTTCTGATCTGACCCGAAAATTCTCCATCTTGGGTTTAGGCTAGTGCACCCACCCTGGGGAGGTCACTTCGATGCTGCTAACACGACGGTTTGACTTCACCCCCGGAGGCACACTCCATTGTCCCTCGAGACAGACGGATGCCAACAACCGCAGCTACTGAAAAACTTTGTGCCATGATGGTCGGTGGTGTTTGCTGTTTTGGAATAACGGTGTTTGTGATGATATCGGACCTTCCGTGGTGTTTTTTTCTCTTTTTGTAACTGTAATTCAAATCATGTGTGTTTGGGAAAGGGAGCGATCCACGCTACTCTAGGGCACCCTATTCTAGAACTCTAGAAAACCCACTCTCTATCTTTCAGTATTAAGATAGCAGCCCAAGTGTAGCAATCTTCTCCGCTAATAACACGAATATTTAGTGTAGTTGATGGGTGTTTTTAACAGTTTACTGTATTCAGGCTAGAGCATGTATTTTAATCTGATTTGTAAAAGAAAATAAAAAACGCAAGGACACTAGGGGAAGCATTGCCCTGGTGACAAGCTATTGCTCTGTTGGTGAAGGATTACTTGTAGGGGAGGCTGGCCTGTTAGGATGACTACAGTGGTACCTCGGGTTAAATACTTAATTCGTTCTGGAGGTCCGTTCTTAACCTGAAACTGTTCTTAACCTGAAGCACCACTTTAGCTCATGGGGCCTCCTGCTGCCGCCGCACGATTTCTGTTCTCATCCTGAAGCAAAGTTCTTAACCCGAGGTAATATTTCTGGGTTAGCGGAGTCTGTAACCTGAAGTGTCTGTAACCCGAGGTAGCACTGTACTAGCCTATCATGAGTGACCCAGCAGTAAATCACACTGTGCAAGTCGGAGTTAACGCTTTATTAGGAAAAAGAGGATCTGCACTGGAGTGTCAGGCCTGAGCACAGCAACTTGTCTCCGGTAGATTTCTCCCCCCGCCCCACAATGAAGAAATTGCTGAGACTGAATATCCTTCCTTCCCACAGCTTCCTAAGTCCCCCGCCCTCTCCAGGGTTTTCCCCCAAGCAATCTGAGACGGTACCTGTGTGACATTAACTTCTCCACCCTTTTCATGCATCTCCTGGGTCTGGGAGACCAGGAGGGAGGGGAGCGCGTTGCAGCAGGATGGGGAGGCCCCCATAACTCTTGAATGAACGAATGAATGAACTTTATTATGGTCACAGACCAGGATTTAAAAAAGCATATAGATAAAATAGCAGTTAGGATTTTTTGACCGATAATTGTTAGGGCAAATGAGGACAAGGAAACAGGCATAAAACATCCGAATAAAATACAAGATTAAACACAGATAATGGATGGATAAAAAACTAATAATTAAAACAGATAAGAGCTAAAAACCAACAAAGACTCGCAGATAAAACAACTATAAGAGGCTGCAGAGTAGAAGCCTCTAAAATGGAGGACACTCACAACATTAAAAACTGCTGTGCAGCCACAATCCTGGGAACGGCGTCAACTAGCTGGCTAAACCAGGTGAGGGCAGCCAATGGGTCTCAAACCCTCAGTGAGTTAGGGGCTCCCCCTGCATGCAAAGATAGGCTCCAGTGACTTGAGTGGATGAGACCAACAGTTGGTCCAATGGTCAAGAAGGCGGTTTCTGCACTTGCTGTAGACAGGGAAGTGAGGGGCAGATGGGGCTTGTCTACCTGGAGAAGGAAAAACTCTGATCCCAAACCTTCTCTGCCTTGCAGAATAACTTCAGGAGAAGAAAATAATAATAAATTTTTATTTATACCCCGTTCTTCCCGGTTCAGGAAACTGGGCTCAGGGCTGCTAACAACAGATTTAAAACACTTAATTGATGCTACGGTATAAAGCGTAAATAACAATAAAATCAAGAGTCAAAAATAAATTGAGGGGGGAAATCCATCCAATAAACATTAGATGATCACCAGGGCTAGCTGGCTAAATTAGTCCTATTTGGGCCAGCGAGGAGACCAGTGGAGAATTAGTTGTGGGATCCCAGAGCGGGCAATCTTCACAAAAAGGGGAGGGGGGAGAAGGAAGTGGAACAAAATATCAGGCCCGGTTCAAATTGAAAGCCAGGCGGAATAGTTCTGCCTTACAGGCCCTGCGGAAGGAAGTTATATCCTGCAGGGCCCTAGTCTCGTGGGACAGCATTACACCAGGTCGGAGCCATCACTGAGAAGGCCCTGACCCTGGTGGAGGATAATCTAACTTCCTTAGGGCCCAGGACCTCTAAACTATGATTATTCATGGACCTTAAGGCCAGCGGCGTAGCGTGGGTTGTCAGCACCCGGGGCAAGGCAAGTAATTTGCGCCCCCTAACCTGGGGCAAGGCAAGTAATTTGCGCCCCCTAACCCCTAACCATGGTCATTAATACTGACGGCTCTACTGTGGGGCAAACTTCGTGGTGACTACTGCCCTCCGTGGTGTTGTTTTTGCAATTAAAGGACCCCTGCCTCAAATAAAGCATCTTGGGGACTGGGATTTGCCAAGGGAGCTGGGAATTGCAGTTCAGTGGCGGGTCAGGGGGAGAGGGTCCCTTCTGCGTCTGGGTGCCACGGGCCCCTTTGCGCCAAGACGCGCGTCTTTGGGCGTCGCGGCGCAGCCTTCTCGGTCTCCCTCCCCGGCCCGGCTAGCCCCGACACGGCTTCTTTCTGGCACGGGGAGGGGGCGGCTCTGGGGCCAGTGTGTCGGCCGGCCTCCGGCATGGGTGGGCGGGCCCCGTCGGGGCGGGTGGGCGGTCTTGGCGCGCAGGCACTAGAGCGCAGGTGGCTCCGGCTGGGCGCTTCATTCGCCGCCGGTGGCGCGTTTGGCGGGCTGCGTGCGTCCAGACAGCGACCTGAGCCTGGGCGGCGTGGCGCTTGGTGCCGGAGCCTCCGCCCGCAGCGCCCCGTCAGGAGACCCGGCCGGAAGGAGCCTCAAGCCAGCTGTCGGATGCGGCTGAAGCAGCCAGGGCGGCATGGCAGGCGGCGGCTCTTCGGCGACTCCGGAGGCAGCGAGCGCGCCCCCCCCCAGAGGTTGCGCCCGGTGCGGCCGGCCCCCCCTGCACCCCCACGCTACGCCACTGCTTAAGGCTCAGGACAGGAGTAAACCCCACACAAACCCAGAGTGGAGTCCCTAAGCAGCCAAGCTGGTGCCAACTGTCTTCCTCTGATTTCCTTTGGACCCCACCAGCGAGGCCAAGAGGTCTTGTCATCTGGGCAACCCAGGACCTCCAGACACACTGCCCAGGCTTGCGTCCCAGGGAGGTCGCTTTGGTGCTCCTAACACAGCAGTTTGACTTCACCTCTGGAACGGCACTCCATTGTCTCTCAAGACAGACGGGTGCCAACAATCAGCACACCCCTAATTTTGACATAGTCACACTTATTTGGGGGAACAAATAAGCTCCCCCCCCCGAAAGACATGTCACACGCAGGGTCCCACAGGCCATAAATCCACCACTGGCCAGAATAGCTGTTTTCTACCTCCCCCCCCCCCTCCTACCAAATTTAGCTGTTTTCAGATTCCCAGATTAGGAGTTCCCCAGATTATGAGTCTTAACCACTACACCACACTGGCTCTCTTGCAGTTTTAGAGTACGACCCTCACCCTGCGGACTGCAGCCTCTCTGCACTCTCCTGACCCTGCGGATTGCAGCCTGACCGCCCAATCCCAGCCCCTCTCCAAAAGGGGTTGCAGCTGCCTTGATCTGAGAGCAGCTCTTTTCTTCCAGGCAAACGGGGCGAAGGCTGCAGCCTTGCAGAGCGAGCAAGCAAGCAAGCAGCCGTCGAGCTTTCTTCTCTTTGCACGGAAGGGTTAAGCAGACCGAGGCTGCCTTTCCCAGAGTGGACGGGGAAAGCCACCGGGAGCCTTGGGGGGGAGGCCATCATTTCCTCTTCCTCGCCTTTTGTGGCGGAGCAACTGCAGCAGGAGGAGGCGACGCGTCCCGGCAGCTTGGCCTCCCGCGCGCCCTTTTGCAACCAGGCGCCCCTGCGCTCGCGGGAGCAGGTAAAGCAGCTCCTTCCATTGCACCTTGCAGAAAAAGAAAAGGGGAAAAAAGAGCAGGCTGGGCGCAGCCCCCAGTGCGCATGAGTGGCTGGGCGGGCGGGGACAGGAGAAGGGCAAAGGCTGGGTGGGGGGCGGCTGCGGCTGAGCACCTAGCTTTGGAGAGCTGCAAGGGACCCCCAGGGGTCATCCAGCTCAACCCCCTTGCAATGCAGGGATCTCAGCTCAAGCATCCGTGGCAGGTGGCCAGCCAACCTCTGCTTGAAAACCTCCAAGGAAGGAGAGTTATAGAGTTGCAAGGGACCCCCCCGGGTCATCTAGTCCAACCCACTGCAGTGCTGGGAAGCCTTGCCCAACTGTATAGGTGCTTACTGTATTCTTCCTGGGTATTTTGTGTGTGAGAGAGAAGCTAGCCTTTCATTGTTTTCCTTTGCACCTCCCTGCCCCCTGGAAAACTTACTGTGGGTGCCCATCGCCAACCCCCAGGCCCAACCCAGCAACCTGATTTTTGGGTGAAATGTAGCTCAGTAGGCAAAAGCACAAAACTCTTAGTCTCAGAGTTGGGGGTTCGAGCCCCACTATTCTCAGGTATCTTTTTTTGTCCACAGTAAAATGTTACTCTAGGTAAAATGAAAACATAGATTGAGAGAAGAATAGAAGGAAAGGGGGAAGAAAGGGGGGGAATAGATAAAAGAGCGGGGGGGGCAATTAAAATATAGAGGGGGGGTTAAGAAACTTAAGATCTTCCAATTCTTTGTCTGTCAGCTATATAGAAACATTCTTCCATTTGTCCACTCCAAAACAACATCCAGCACAGCTACAGTGGTAACTTGGGTTACATACACTTCAGGTTACAGACTCTGCTAACCCAGAAATAGTACCTTGGGTTAAGTACTTTGCTTCAGGATGAGAACAGAAATCGTGCTCCGGCAGCGCAGCAGCAGGAGGAGGCCCCATTAGCTAAAGTGGTGCTTCAGGTTAAGAACAGTTTCAGCTTAAGAACGGACCTCCGGAACAAATTAAGTACTTAACCCGAGGTACCACTGTACTTTCTATAAATCAGTATACCTGAAGGAGCGTCTCCACCCCCATCTTTCTGCCCGGACACTGAGGTCCAGCTCCGAGGGCTTTCTAGCGGTTCCCTTGCTGCGAGAAGCCAAGTTACAGGGAACCAGGCAGAGGGCCTTCTTGGTAGTGGCACCTGCCCTGTGGAACGTCCTCCCACCAAATGTCAAAGAGAAAAAGAACTACCAGACTTTTAGAAGACATCTGAAGGCAGCCCTGTTTAGGAAAGCTTTTAATGTTTAATAGATTATTGTATTTTAATATCCTGTTGGAATCTGCCCAGAGTGGCTGGGGAAACCCAGCCAGATGGGCGGGGTATAAATAATAAATAATTATTATTATTATTATTATTATTATTATTATTATTATTATTATTATTATACCTTCATACTTCAAACCCAAATGTCATTATTTCATTACCTTTTTCACCCAAAAAGTCTTACGAGAGGTTTACAATCTTTAGTAAATGTTAACCACGACTTTTCTCTGATCAAACGTGTCAATTTCGCCACCTTGAATAATTTTAGTAACCGTTCCTCCGTTGTTGGTAACGGCGAGTCTTTCAGTCTTTGTGCATGTAAAAGTCTCGCCGCCATAAGTATAACTTGGCTGCAGTAATCATGGATCTTTCCAATTCTTCACTTTCTCATCTCTCTGCATCTTTTCCCCCTTTTCTTCACCTCCCAGGAAAAGCCCCCTCAACTCCAGTGGTGAAACAGCTGTGTTGCCTAAACATGCCCTAAGCCTCTTGTTGGAGCAGTCCAGAGAATGGGTGGATAATCCATCTGTCCTGCATACTTTCGTGTATTTGCGTTCTGGCATCCCTGATCAAATCCAAGACCGCGAGAGGGTGACCCGGGCGGCCGCTGTTCCAGAATTCATCATGAGACACAAAATGGTCCCGGAGAAAGGACAAACTCAGAACACAGACTTCCGGGACCGGATCCCCATGGAGCAGTCAGTGTCCGAAAGCGGGAACCAGCCGGAGGAAAAGCTGCGGCGAACTGGCCCCGAGCCTGGCGAGGCGTCGGAGGGAGCTACCCAAGCGTCTTCAGAACTCAAGGCTGGGAATGACCGAGGCCCCACGAAGAAGGAAGTCCCAGAGAAGATGACGAACGAGCCGGGAGAGAGGCGGTTGAAATACCTGGACCCTCGGGCCGCCTACAAGTCCCGCAACGCGGGGTGGGCAGACCCCGAGCGACTGGAATCTGAGCCATGGGAGAACTCCAAGTCTTGCTTGGCCTCCATGGAAGGAGCAGCTGAGGCCTACCGGAAGTTCAGAGGCCTGCCGGATCTCAGGAGGGAAAGCAAAGGGGATTGCAGGACCCCCAAGATGGAGGACGAGAGGAAGGCGAGGGAGGATCTCCTCAGAGAAGATTTGGCCGCTATGGACGTGCAGAGGACTCTGTTCCGGGAGTTCCGCTACCAGGAGGCCGAAGGTCCCCGCGAGGCCTGTAGTCGCCTCTGGTACCTGTGCCACCGGTGGCTGAAGCCGGAGAGGCACTCCAAGGAGCAGATCTTGGAGCTGGTGATCCTGGAGCAGTTCCTGGCCATCTTGCCCTCGGAGCTTCAGGGCTGGGTCAAAGATGGCTGCCCTCAGACGTGTGACCAGGCAGTGGCCCTGGCAGAGGACTTTGTGCCCAGGCGGCAAGAAAATAGGCGTCTGGAGCGGGAGGTGAGAGCGCTTTCTTGAAGCGGTTCCAGGGGGCCGCTTCCATTTCGTTTTTCGTGTGGAACGGAAGTCAAGTGGCCAATCTGCATAACAACCGGTTGTTGTGCACATTCACCAGATTTCTGGGAGAATGTGCACAAAACCCAAAGAGGACATTGGGCATGTCTCTTGGCCAGCGTACATAATCTCCAACAAGCCTTGGAGAATGTGCATATGTCAGCTTGATTTTGTACATTCTCCGGTCGTTGTGCACAATCTCCAACACGGCTTGAGAATGTGCATTAATTCACAACTGCGTTTTGTACATTCTCTGGCTGCTCTGTCTTGATATCAGGCAGGTTCCCTTCCTTGCACTCTTTTCAACACCTGCTCAGCACATTTTTGTTTAGCCAGACCTGCCCAAATTTATAGAATGGTTGATGAGAGTTTTGATCTGTTATTTTGACTTTCCGAAAGCCTTAAATTATTGCTATTATTCCTTATTCCTCTTTTTCAGTGTATTTCATTGACTTTTTAAAATAACATGAAATAACAACACACCCCCAGCCAACATTGCCCCCTTCGTATTCCCCACCCACCAAATACAGATCCCTTATGGAATAAAATTGTCCCAAAGTGTCAAGTGCGAGTCTGGATGGTGCCACTGGGAGCGATAGACCATTGCATATTTAATATGGGTGCCATGTCACTCTGAAGCTATCCTCTTCTCCCTTTCCGGCTCATCCCTTGACTTCCGTAGTTAAATTTTCAGAGAGTGCTAATGTCCATCCTTTTTTGTTTCTACTATGGTCATTCTAGATGCAGGGACTTCCAGTTTTGAGCAATAAGTTGTCTAGCAGCTAAAAAAAAGGAACGTGATTAGCTCTTTCCATCTCAAATTAACGTTACCTTCATCAGAAATGGTTAGCAAAACCAAGGTTTGGGGTGTGGTTAATTCTTCTTATGGATAGTTTTATTCTTTTTATCCTTTCCATAAACTGCTTTGAGGTTTGTTTTTACTGTCAAGCAACGTATAATTTTTGTGAACTAAACATAAGCCTCTCATATATAGATCATGGGTAGGCAAACTAAGGCCCGGGGGCCGGATCTGGCCCAATCGCCTTCTAAATCCGGCCTGTGGACGGTCCGGGAATCAGCGTGTTTTTACATGAGTAGAATGTGTCCTTTTATTTAAAATGCATCTCTGGGTTATTTGTGGGGCCTGCCTGGTGTTTTTACATGAGTAAAATGTGTCCTTTTATTTAAAATGCATCTCTGGGTTATTTGTGGGGCATAGGAATTCGTTCATATATTTTTTTCAAAATATAGTCCGGCCCCCCCACAAGGTCTGAGGGACAGTGGACTGCTGAAAAAGTTTGCTGACCCCTGATATAGATGGAGCTGGTAGATAGAGATATTCATATATGCATACATTTTTCAATTTTGATTCCACCCCTACCCTGCTGTGTTTCAGAGGCCGGCGTTAATCCAGGAGGTAGCTTTGAACTTCCACACGGCTGAGCCGTCCCCAGCTAACCCCAGGGAGAAAGCACTTCGCTCCAAGGTCAAGCAAGAAGGAAGCGGTGACACTGATTCGGAGGGTAAGGGCTCTGTGTGGTTTTTCTTCTTCATTGTCCCTTCCTTCCTTCCTTCCTCTTTCTTTCTCTTTCTTTCTCTTTCTTTCTTTCTTTCTTTCTTTCTTTCTTTCTTTCTTTCTTTCTTTCTTTCTTTCTCTTCTCTCTCTCTCTTTCTTTCTTTCTTTCTTTCTTTCTTTCCTTCCTTCCTTCCTTCCTTCCTTCCTTCCTTCCTTCCTTCCTTCTTTCCTTCTTTCCTTCTTTCTTTCAGTTGGCTTTTTCTCCCTGGCACCATCTCCCATGCCTGATATTTTTGAGATTATGTGGTTTTTCAGATTAAAATTTTACAGTCACATTTCCAGCATAAAACATAAAATCCCTTGGGATTTCGACACCTATAATTCCTTTTAAAAAAGGCTTCAGGTTGTGTTTATTTTTTTAGAAAAAAGGTTATTTTAAACATTTTTTTAACTCATATATCATTTCCCAAAATTCTTTTACTAACGTTTCCACCATGTAAGTTAAAAGGTGCCTTATTTTTCCATTTCCAACATACGTTTGACCCCGTTTTATACATGTTTGCTAATTTACTGGGAGTTAAATACCAACGGAACATCATTTTCATATAATTTTATTTCAACATGTAATATGCTGTGAATTTTAAATCCCGATTCCATAACTTCTCCCATGCTGTAAATTGTATATCATACCCAAAATCTCAGTGTATCATTACTGATTTAACCTGTTAGTAATGCTATTATTCCAGAGAGTATACTATTATTAACAAGTCTTTATAATCTTTATAAATGCCTTCCAAGTGTCATTATATTTATCCACACTCCAGCCTGCGTCTAAAAGCAGTTCGTTCATATGTTGGCAGAGTTGCCAAAGCATTATCTTTCTGGTGAATCAGTGTCAGTCTTCCGGCAGAAGTAAGGGCACAAAGAATCTGCGTAGTCCAGCAGTCAAACCCCAAATAATGGGTACAGTCAAATCTCAGGTTCTTGAATGGCTCCATTCGACTCCCGAATGCCCCAAACCCAGAAGTGAGTGTTCCAGTTTTCGAATGATCTTCGGAAGCTGAATTTCCAACACGGCTTCCGCTTGTGTGCAAGAAGCTCTTGCAACCAATCGGAAGCTACGCCTCAGTTGTCGAATGTTTCGGAACCCGAACAGGCAAGAACAAGCCGAATGTTTGACAACCGAGGTTTGACTGTACGTGGTTTAGGATCATTTGTCTCCCACAGTAGTTTGACATCTTTCCGCAGGGCCTGCAAGACGGAGCTGATCCGCCTGACCTTTGGTTTGGACTCAGTCTGACCCTTATGTTTCCCTCCCCTTATGGTTTTGATCTATGGGCTACTATTAAAATGAGGCTGCATTTTAAATTGTATTTTCACCTGTATTTTAATAAATTAGTTTTGGTTTTTTTTGTTTCCCCCCATTATGTTTTTATTGTAATTTTACTGGTGTTAGCTGCTCTGAGCCTAGCTCTGGCCGGGGAGGGCGGGGTATAAATAAAATTTTATTACTATTACTACTAATACTACGATTATTATTATTACCACCACCATATTGGCCCAGATATAAGCCGCACTTTCCCCCCAAATTCTGACCATGAAAAGTTAAAGTGCGGCTTAAATTCCCTACCTTACAGAATTTGCCTTTTTTCGAATATCGCTGCTGAAACACACATACGGCAAAACGGAATGGGTGTGAATGCCAGCAGAATTTTAAGGGAGTAGCTTATATTCAGGAATTGCCTTTTTTCCCTCTCCCCCCCCTTTGAATTTTAAAGGTGTGGCTTATATTCGGGTACGGCTTATATTCTGGCCAATATGGTAGTTACACATCCTAGTATTTTTCTCCCAAAATTTGTAAGCGTTGCACATTGCGTTTCATATGATGAGATGGACCATTAGCCTGGTCAGGCCTCCTTGACGTCCTTGTGTAGCTTCTCAGCTTCTCTCGTCTGTCCCTGCAGGTGACGACGGGTGGGTGATCGAGACAGCGCAAGACAATTCCCCTCTGCAGGATCCCGAGCCAGCAAAGATCTGCGGGTCCTCGTGGGACAGGATCCCTTGGTCCCAAGAGGATGGAGAAGCTTCTGTTAGTCACGGCGACGACGGCCCGCAAAGGAGCAAGGAGAAACGCCAAGAGCAGAGGGTGTCCAAGAGCGCCCCTTGCGTCGGGGACGGAGGAGGCCAGAGCCAAGCGGTCGTCGTCAAGAGGCGGCGGCGCAGTCGAGGGAAGAAGACGTGCGGCGTGTGTGGGAAGACCTTCAGCCGGAGCACCGTGCTGGCGGCGCACCAGCGGACGCACACGGGCGAGAAGCCGTTCATGTGCCAGAGCTGCGGGAAGTGCTTCAGCTTCAAGTCGACGCTGGTGGCGCACGAGAGGACCCACACGGGCGAGAGGCCCTACACCTGCGACCAGTGCGGGAAGAGCTTCACCGTCAGCTCGGTACTGACGCGCCACTACCGCGTCCACATCGAGAAGGAGCTGTTCGGCTGCTCCGAGTGCGGCAAGAGCTTCGCCCAGAAGTCGCAGCTCCACAACCACCAGAAGGTGCACGTCCGGGAGAAGCCGTTCAAGTGCACTCAGTGTGGCGAGGGCTTCAGCCGCGGCTCCAGCCTCAAGAAGCACGAGGGCTCGCACACGGGCGAGAAGCCCTTCAAGTGCCCCGACTGCGACAAGTCCTTCAACACGTCCTCGCAGCTGGTCAAGCACCACCGCGTCCACACCGGGGAGAGGCCCTACACGTGCGCCGAGTGCGGGAAGAGCTTCAGCCAGTGGCAGATCCTCATGGTCCACCAGAGGACCCACACGGGCGAGAAGCCCTTCAAGTGCGCCACCTGCGGCAAGTGCTTCTCCGACCGCGCCGTCCACATCCGGCACCAGAAGGTCCACACGGGCGAGAGGCCGCACCAGTGCGCCACCTGCGGCAAACGGTTCACCCACCGCACCGTCCTGGTCAAGCACCAGAAGATCCACATGCGGGAAGCCTTGAACATGCTGCGGCTGCAGGAGGAGGAGGAGCAGAGGCAGCGGTCGGAGCCGCCGCCGCCACCCGAGGGAGCCTCGTAAAAGCTCAAGAGCATCGCCAAATGCCTTGGGAGAGACGCCATGCAGACGACCATGTACTCCAGGGGGGGTTGGGAGCTGTGGGGTCCTCTCAGGTGTTGCCAGGCTCGCATCAGCCCTGGGCAACGCAGCCAAGGACCTGGGTGATGGTTCCCCATCCCTGTGCTATGAGTAACCCGGATGGTGCCTTCCAGATTTTGTTGGACTCCATCTCCCATCAGTGCTGCTCAGAGAAGGCAGGAGATGTAGTCAAGTCACATCTTAGAGGGCCATACTTCTCCCCCTTTTTTCTTTTCTTTTTTGATGCGCATTGCCATTCATTTATTTTTTATGCATTTTCCAATATCCAATTTATACATTGCATTTTTTCCATCATACAGTATTTACAGACTTCCCAACCCAGCGCTCTGAGGCATTCTAGTTATACAGCGGTACCTTGGTTGTCGAACTTAATCTGTTCCGGGAGTCCGTTTGATTCCCGAAACGGTTCGGAAACCGAGGTTGGCTGCAGGAGCTTCCTGGTACTCAATCGAAAGCCGCGTCAGACGTTCAGCTTCCGAAAATATTCGCAAACAGGAACATTCACTTCCGGGTTTGCGTTGTTTGGGAGCCAGAACATTCAAATTGCAAGGCATTCACAAACCAAGGTACAACTGTACCTTGTTTCGCTCCATATCAGGTACTTCACCCACCCAAATTTCCCCCCTTTTCATTATAGTTGCTCATAAAGTTACCCCAGCTTGAAAGTTTCCCACTCGTCCCTTATCCGATGGTCATCCTGGTTCCTTATTTCGGCCGTCATATTAGCCAGTCCTGCAAATTCCATCCGCTTCTGCAGCCGTTGTTCTTGGGATTCCTCTCTCCAGTTTTTAGCGTAAACTGTTCTAGCTGGTTTCCTCTGGCTGTAGTCAAAGTGGTTCCTTCCAAATGTTGCTGTCCTCCATCGCCCATCCTTCTCAGCCTGCACAGTCAGGGATGATGGGAGATGCAGCCAGAGAGCCACAGCTTCCCCCCATTCCTGATATAAACAAGCAAACCACGGTTTCCCCAAGCAGAGATATTTTGCTTTTGTTTCCAGAACAGAAGTGGATGCTTCTCATCTCCAGAACTTAAAAGGGGATGCTTGCGAGCCTAAAGCTCACGGAGACTCGCCTCCCCGCCCCCCAATAGGTCGGGTAACCATGCATTTCCCATTAAATCTGACGGCCCACTACTCCCCCCATTTCTGGTTCAAACCACGGTTCCTCCACACCTGCAGTTTAGAATGCTGCAGCTTTGCCATCCCAGATTAACCCCACGGTAGTCTGTAGCTGCATGCACACATATCGTCTTCCGCAACCTGGCGTCTTCCAGATGTTTTGTCCTCCCAGTGCTCATCTGCATGGCTGGCGCTCAGCGATGAGGGGAGCAAAGGCTAGTATGACCCCATGGCAAACCCCTCTATGAGGCTTTGGTGGCAGGTTTCCATGCCTTCGCCTCTGAGTAGGGGAAGAACACACATTCACCCCACTCCCACCTGGCTGGACACCACAGACTGCCCCCCCAAGGTACCCACACACCACTGTAAGCTTCTGTGGGGTAAAATTAAGAATGGGGAACACTTGGCTCTTAGGGTGCTATCGGTCTCCAGTGCCCGTTAATGCTGACCATTCGCAACTGTGGCCGCTCAGGCTGGTAGGACTTGAACCGCCATGTTGGCTGACCCTGCCAAAGTGAATTATTATTACAGTGGTACCTCGGTTTTCAAACTTAATCAATTCCGGAAGTCCATTCGAGTTCCGAAACATTCGAAAACCGAAAGCGGAAGCCTCAAAAACCGAGGCGTTTATCTTCCAGGTTTTCGGCGTTCAAGTTCCGAAATGTTCAACTACGGAGGCGTTCTAAAACCGAGGTACCACTGTAGTATTATTATTATTATTATTACCATTATTATTCTATTATGATGATGATCTAATGTATTCTTATCCTGCTTTTCTCCCAAACTTAAGGTGGCTTGCAGCGTTTAAAACAGGCACAATTAGCTTCAAATGAAAACAAGCAGGTTAAAAGCAGAACGTAAAATACATAAAATCATGTTTAAAACCAGTGCTAAAAGTACAGTTTGCCCTGACAGCCTGGGGTCAGCTTCATCTGTGTCTACAGTCTGAATAAGAAGGTCTAATCCTGCCTCCTTCCTGCAACCCTGGCTTCTTGCCCACTAGATGTTTTGGACCGCAACGGCCTCATTGGCTGGGAGTTGTAGTCCGGCAGCGCCTGGCGGGTGAGAGGCTGAGGGCAGCTGCTGTGAATCGGGGGTGGAATCCAGCACCCTCATTCTGGCAGCACAAGGATTTACATTTGCACAATGGAACTTCCTGGATGCCAAGATCCAAGTTAGGGACAAGTACTCTTTGGTGAGAGAATCTTTAAAGTATGCCCTTCCAACCGAGTTCCAAAACATCCCCTTTGTAAAGTTTCTTTCCAAAGTTTCCCTCTTTCCCCAGCATAGGAAAATGTACACACTGGGTAAGTTAAAAATTGGTTTAGTTACCAATTCTCCAAAGGTCAGATTCATGTAGTTGAGCTGGTGGCAGAGTCATTGGCATCTGTCTGGTATAGGAACTCGAGAGTGGCTTGTGAAAGCCATGCGGTTGAGCTGCAAGAACCAGCTCTAGCCTTTTCACATGCTGAGCTTCTCAGGTAGGTGAACAATAGTCTTGATTCCCTATATCCTCCCCAGGTCAGCTAAGCCTGGCAGGACAGCTTACTCTATGGTCTTAACCCCTTCATGCACTAATTAGACTTGGGCATGTTGATTATATGTGACTGGTTATCCCACACTTTCTGTCCCACAAGCTTCCTAAATCTGCTTTTGAGGGTTGCCCAGGGGGAGGGAACTCCAGAACAGATTTAAGGGGTGCATGGGAAGAGGAGGAGGGCAGGAGTTTTGTTGCACCAGCAGAAATCCTTAGGCTAACAGAACCAATGACTTATTGCTACGTTGTACTACGGGAGGGTTGTTGCACTCTTCTCATCGTTCAAGAATTCCATTTTGCCAGTCGGAATGATTCCCCGCCTCTCCTCTTGCCACATGCTGCTCTGACACAAACACACCCCGTCAGTTTTGGGGTGTGTGGAGGGAGGGGAACTCCTGTTGCGCAAGCAGAAGTCCTTGCACCGAGCTTCCACTGTGGGGACTTGTGAGGTGATCCCCACTCCATACCTCCTCAAACTATCCTGAGCCATTCTGTAATAACACAGAAGCCCGAATGCCAAAAACTGGAAATAACAAAACCTCTCTGAACGTTGCATCAAGACTGACTTGCTGCGAATGGTGAACAGGCCGAAAGAGGCCCAACAAGCCGCACTCTTTCTCCAAAATGGCAGACCCCACACAGGAGTCCCTTGGGGAAAAAGATTAAATCCCACCAAAGGAATTTTCTGGATTTGAACTCCCAGCAGGCAGTTTCCAAAACGGGATAATCTGGAGTCCATCATCTGAAGGGCCACCCAAAATGGTTTGTGTGCACCTCCTTGCTATAAAAGCTCTTGGCTTGGCAATCGAAAACTTCCGCATTTATGGGATGCCAGCGAACCCGCCTCTCTCAGAGTCCTCGTCTTTGAAGCTATGCACTTGGTTGAACGGATGACGCATCTAGATAGACGGTTGAAGCAGCGAGGAGTCTGTTGGAGTTATCTGCATGTGCATTGACTAGTAGTGGGTAGATTATTTTTTTCTTGGGGTGGGATGGGGGAGGAAACAGTTCTTCATTGAATTGTTCTTTGGGGGCGCAGTTCTCTCAATTTCTGACTCCGGAGACTTGACGACATCCTGTCCTCATTATAACAGTAAGAGAGGGTATTGTATATGATAGAAACTGATTAAAGAAAAACGTAAGAAGTGCCTAATAACTGGACCCGTCTCTGAGAGGTTTTCCTTTGCCTCCTCTTTGTTTAATGCTGGGACTGAGGTCTGAACGCCCCTTCCAGTTCTGCTCTGGTGCCTGATTTCCACCTGCGGAAGCAGTCAAGTTCTCTGTTGGGTCCGGTGCTCTGGGTAGAGACCTATTGCGGTCTGGAGTGTCTGGAGGCGGTTGGAGGATGGATGGTGGCTAACAGATTGAGGTTGATTCCTGACAAGACAGAAGTACTGTTTTTGGCGGACAGAGGGTGGGCAGGTGTGGAGGACTCCCTGGTCCTGAATGGGGTAACTGTGCCCCTGAAGGACCAGGTGTCCAGCCTGGGAGTCCTTTTGGACTCACAGCTGTCCATGGAAGCGCAGGTCAATTCTGTGTCCAGGGCAGCTGTCTACCAGCTCCATCTGGTACGCAGGCTGAGGCCCTACCTGCCCATAGACTGTCTTGCCAGAGTGGTGCATGTTCTGGTTATCTCCCGCTTGGACTGCTGCAATGCGCTCTACGTGGGGCTACCTTTGAAGGGGACCCAGAAACTGCAACTATTCCAGAATGCGGCAGCTAAACTGGTGACTGGGAGTGGCTGCCGAGACTGGTCCTGAAAGACCTACATTGGCTCCCAGTACGTTTCCGAGCACAATTCAAAGTGTTAGTGCTGACCTTTAAAGCCCTAAATGGCCTCGGTCCTGTATACCTGAAGGAGTGTCTCCATCCCCATCGTTCAGCCTCATCGTTCAAAAATAAACAACTATCTGGCTTTTAGAAGACATCTGAAGGCAGCCCTGTTTAGGGAAGTTTTTAATGTTTGATCTTTTATTGTGTTTTTAATATCCTGTTGGAAGCCGCCCAGAGTGGGCTCAGCAAAGTGTCCTGCGACACTTGAACGGCTAATGCCAACCCATTTATTGCAGCATCGTCTAACAGAGACTAGTGTCTGCTTCATCACATAAAGGAAGCGAGAGATCCTAGCGGGCTCAGCATATAAGTTTGAGAGACGCAGATGATGGGTGGAAGATTGTGCATGTGTGAGAGGAAATGAGAGGAGATGGGATAAAGGTAAAGGGACCCCTGACCATTAGGTCCAGTCGTGGCCGACTCTGAGGTTGCGGCGCTCATCTCGCTATACTGTACAGCTTCCGGGTCATGTGGCCAGCATGACTAAGCCGCTTCTGGCAAACCACAGCAGCACACAGAAACAACGTTTACCTTCCCGCTGGAGCGGTACCTATTTATCTACTTGCACTTTGACGTGCTTTCGAACTGCTAAGTTGGCAGGAGCAGGGACCGAGCAACGGGAGCTCACCCCGTCGCAGGGATTCGAACCGCCGACCTTCTGATCGGCAGGTCCTAGGCTCTGTGGTTTAACCCACAGCGCCACCCGCGTCCCTATACCCATCTTCAAATATCTCAAGGGCTGTCCCATGGAAGAGGGAACAAGCTTGTTTTCTCCTGCTCTGGAGTGGGGGATTCGAACCTATGGCTTCAAGCTACAAGGAAGAAGATAAACACCAGGAAGAACTTTCTGACAGTAAGAGCTGTTTGGCAGTGGAATAGTCCCCCTTGGAAGGTTGTGGGCTCTGCTTCCTTGGAGGCTTTTATGCAGTGGCTGGGTGGCCATCCGTCATGGATGCTTTAACCGAGATTCCTGCATTGTGGGGGGTTGGGCTAGATGACCTTGGGGTCCCTTCTAGCTTTTAAGATTCTACAAAAGAGGCAGTGAATAGTGAAGAGAGTGGTGTTTCATTCAATCAATCTTTTTATTTGTATGCTGCCTCTCTAAAGTTAAAACTGCTCAAGGCAGCTTAAAGGTAAAGGGACCCCTGACGATTAGGTCCAGTCGTGGCCAACTCTGGGGTTGCGGCGCTCATCTCGCTTTATTGGCCGAGGGAGCCGGCGTACAGCTTCCAGGTCATGTGGCCAGCATGACTGAGCCGCTTCTGGCGAATCAGAGCAGAGCACGGAAATGCTGTTTACCTTCCTGCCAGAGCAGTACCTATTTATCTACTTGCACTTTGATGTGCTTTCGAACTGCTAGGTTGGCAGGAGCAGGGACCGAGCAACCCCATTGTGGGGATTCGAACCACCGACCTTCTGATTGACAAGTCCTAGGCTCTGGGTTTAACCCACAGCGCCACGGCAGCTTACAACATATAAAACCCCCACATAACTACAGATGGACAGGGTATAAATAACTTAATAATTATTATTTGTGGGTGTGGGTGTTTTTTTTAAATTATTATTATTATTATTATTATTATTATTATTATTATTATTATTATTATTTATCACACCCCCAAAAGTTTTGGGTTCTCCGTTCGTCGCAGCTTTGGATCCAGCAGAGGAAGACGTGTCTCTTTGTCTCCAGGTTCCCGCTCAACTGAGACACAAACACACCGGGGGATAAACAAATTAATAGTAATGAATGAAACACCTTGAGGATATAGGGGAAAGAAAGCAGGAAGAGAGATGTAGGTTAGACAAGGGGTGGGGAGAGAAAACTCCCCGTTCTCGCTACTCCTACTTTATAGGGAAGAGCCTCGCCGGGGCGAGAAAGTTGGCAACGCGCTCTTGCTGCGCTTCCGCCCGTTTTTTTGCCGCTGTGCGCATTGCAAGCGCCGAGCCCTGCCTTTCCACGCCGAGTCACCCCCTCCCCGGAAAAAGACCCTCTGCATTCCCCATCCTTGCACCCCCACCCTCTCCAGTGCATGCACAGAGCTGCACCTGTCAAATTTATACGTCTCCAACCCCCCCCCTAAAAAAAACCCCCAACCCAGTTGCTGTGCGCTCCCAGGCGCCCTTCCAGGGAAACCAAAGACCACCAGCAGCTGGAGACAGATGGCACTGTCTCGCCTTTGTTCATTTCTTCCTTCCTTTATTTATTTCTTTGCTGGGTGTGTGTCTTTTTTAAGGTCTAGGGAAGGGTTAAACGGGCGAGCGAGGTGGCTCTTCCCAGACTGGAGCCGGAGGAGCCATCGCTGGGAACGGGAGAGGGAGGTTTGCGCGCGCGCGCGCTCTCCGGCTCCGAAAGTCCTTTCCTCTTCCTCCCTCTTTTGTGGGCGAGAGTTGCAGAGAGACCGGCCCTTTTCCCCCGCTGCTGCTGCTGCTGCTGTTTCTCTGCTTGGCTCCGGGGAACCGGCGGTGGTAAGGGGGCGAGGCGCCCGTGCACCCGCCTGGTGGGGCTGCAACGCCTGGTGGCGTGCGCCGCCCACCCCGCGCAAGACTTGCATGCGTGCGCGTGTGAATGCGCAGGAGAGGGGTTTTTTTTTCTTGGCAGATGCAGCTTGCCAGTGCCGCGGGCCTCTGAGACCGATTTGCAGGAGAATCCGGGGCTCAGCACCTCCGGTTGCAAGGAGGATCTCAAAGGGGTGTCAATGCTCTGGATGGGTCAGTAACGTTTAGGGGAAGGATAGTGAGTTGGAGAGGTCCTGGGGAGTCCGGATTCAATCCTCCGTTTCTCTAGGTAGCGCTGGGAATGCATCATGTCTGTAATCCTGGAGAGCTGCTGCCAACCTGTGCTCAGCATCACTGGACTCCTGATAAGAAGGCAGCTCCCTGAATTCCTGCATCAAGCAGAGAACCACTGAACTACCCTGTCCGCCTGCTATCTGCTTTTTAGGATGCCTGCTTTTAATTTTACGGGAAGGGTCGAGTTGGAATGGGACCCCGGGGTCATCTAGTCCAACCCACTGCAATGCTGACTTTGGAATAGCAAACAGCAGGAGGGGAGAAAGTGAGTTGTGGGGAGGGGGCTTCCCTTTAAGACATTATAATCATAGAGTTGTAGTGCTGGAAGGGACCCGAGGGTCATTAGTCCAACCCCCTGCAATGCAGGAATCTCCTGTCTGAAAGCCCAGAGAGCTGCTGCCAGTCTGTGTACGCAGCGCTGAGCTACATAGACCAATAGTGTGACTTGGTATAGCACAGCTTCTATCCTATGTGCCTACACTGCTTTTAGTTTCTTGTGGGGTGTAAACAGTCTTCTTCTTTGGCAATCACTCGTAGCTGAGTAAGATTGTCTTCCATAAACAAGGCTTTAGCAGTGAGTCCATAAGTGACTGTGGAGGCCAATTCTGGATCCACACTTCCTTGCACAGTGGGAACATTGGTTTCCGGGCGGGAGCTGATCACGGTGAGGGTTTGCCAAGCGTGCCTTCCTCTTAGCACGTTTCTCCCTTTCATCCTGAGTTTGAGCGACTTCAAAGCCCGTGACATTTTTGGTAAAGGCTGTTCTCCAACTGGAGCGCTCGCAGGCCAGTGTTTCCCAGTTGTCAGTGTTTATACTACATTTTTTAAGATTTGCCTTGAGACAGTCTTTCAACCTCTTTTGTTGACCACCAGCATTATGCTTTCCATTTTTAAGTTCGGAATAGAGTAGTTGCTTTGGAAGACGACCATCAGGCATCCGTACAACATGACCAGTCCAATGAAGCTGATGTTGGAGAATCATTGCTTCAACACTGGGGATCTTTGCTTCTTCCAGTATACTGATATTAGTTCACCTGTCTTCCCAAGTGATGTGTAAAAATTTTCAGAGACACCATTGATGGAATAATAATAATAATAATTATTATTATTATTATTATTATTATTTATTATTATTTATACCCCGCCTATCTGGCTGGGCCTCCTCAGCCACTCTGGGCGGCTTCCATAGAAACCAAAAATCTTTTGAGGCTATGTTCTTCTAGGATTCCATTAATATATTGTTGTAGCTGTGTCAGCTGGGAAAGTACACTAAATTGTTTGTTTGTTTAAAGTATTTCCCCCTGCTCTGCATCCAAAAGTTTTCCAGAGCAGCTTGTGGATCAAATTAACAAACCAGCTGAACAGTCCCCACTGTCCGGCTAACAATCTAAAAGACAACACGAAAGGAAAAAGGGATGGGGAGGGAAGATGAGTTGTTGTTGTTGTTTTGAGCAACCAAGATGGCAAAGTTCGAAACTTCATCTCTATACTCTTACATCCTTGTCTTTTTAAATCTCTGTCTCTTTCTCAGGGGAAGCCCTCCTCCCCAGCTCTTCTTGTGAAACACTGCATTTTGTCGAGTTCTCCACCGCCACAAAGAAATGCCCCAGGCTTCCTGTGGGCCTGGCGCATACCTGAGCAGATCCTTTTGGGGTGGCTTTTCCCGTTAAATAGACATTTTCCCCCAAGGCCGCCATGCTGAGCTGAAGATCCAAAATGGCGGCCGAGAAGGGAAGAACGCCAAGCGTTGATCTCTACTTCCGATCTCTGCTCCAACGGGAGATCGAGGCCAAGGAGCACCATGAAGAGAGCAGCCGAACAGGCCACGATCCCAAAGCGGCAGTGGAGAGATCAGAAAGATCCTCTCACAAAGCCAAGGCTGGGAATGACCAGGATTTCCTGAAAAGGGAGGCCCCGGAACTGGTCATGGGCGAGTCAGGCGGGAAGCCATGGAAACATCTGGAAGACGTGAAAGGAACACGATTCCCTTGCTCGGGATGGGGAAACCCTCCCTTGCTGGGGTCTCTGCCTCGGGACGGTCCCAAAACTTTCCTGGCCACCTTTGAGGGAGTGGCGAGCGCTTGTCGGAGGTCTGGCAGGCTGTCGGGCCTTGGCAGAGAAGCTTCAAGGGACGCCACAAAGATTGCCGCTGTCAAGACGGAGGATTGTTGGAAAGCGACAGAGGATCTCCTGGGAGACGATTTGGCCGCTATGGAGGTGCAGAGGACTCTGTTCCGGGAGTTCCGCTACCAGGAGGCCGAAGGTCCCCGCGAGGCCTGTAGTCACCTCTGGTACCTCTGCCACCGGTGGCTGAAGCCGGAGAGGCACTCCAAGGAGCAGATCCTGGAGCTGGTGATCCTTGAGCAATTCCTGGCCATCTTGCCCGCGGAGCTTCAGGGCTGGGTCAAAGATGGCTGCCCTCAGACTTGTGACCAGGCGGTGGCCCTGGCCGAAGGCTTTTTACTCCAACGGCGGGAGGCGGCCAAAACAGAACGGGAGGTGAGAACGTTTAGGGTCACTTCTCAAGGATGTTTTGAGAGAGTTGTGAAGACCTCATACGTTGGCCACAATGAGAGCCCTGAAGTTGGGCCAGGCCGAAAGGCCCCCATCCGCACTCCACATTTGAAGCAATATTGTTCCACAGTCATGACTTCCCCCAAAGGATCCTGGGAGCTCTTGAAGTTGCCAAGAGTTTGTAGGTATCCCTTGTTACCCTCACAGAGCTACAGTTCCCAGATTGGTTGAGCAATTATTATTATTATTATTATTTCATCATCATCAAACCTTTTATTGGCATCACATACAAACATACAAATTATTATTATTATTATTATTATTATTATTATTATTATTATTATTATTATACAAAACAAATCAATACAGAATTACCACTTCCCCAGTGGCCCAAAACATTTGCTTAAAAAAAGGAGGCAGAGCAGTCTATTGTCACATCTCTTGGTCTCCAGGGAAATCAGACGTCTGCAGTGTATTTCGACAACAAAAAACCAAATAGAGATATTTAGCCACTAACTTGATGAGCTCCTGATCATTCCCCAGCAATAAAAACTGTATGACCTACGACTCTGGTTTCCATTTGGGGATACAGAGTTGATCTAGAAATTGCTGATGGAGATCAGCATATAGTTTACAATTGAGAATCATATGTGTAAGGGTTTCCACCAGGTGGTCTTCACCTGGGCAAGTTCTTTCTCCTTCCACCCTGCCTGAGAAACTTCCCCAAAGGAGGAAGGATGGATTTGAATTAAACCTGGCCAGCAAAAATGCCCTTCTTTCTTGAGGGTTAAGTAGAAATTCAAGGTAATTGTGGTTAGTTTGAATTTATATATCACCCTATACTCAGAGGTCTCAGGGCGGCTCACAGAAAAGATCACAACATATATAATCAGAATAAAATAAAAAACCCAATAACACCCCCCCCCAAAGAGCAACATTTTAAAGGGTATAGGATATCAAACAGATCAACCAAAGGCCTGGTTAAAAAGGACCGTTTTTGCCTGGCGCCTAAAGGTGTGTAATGAAGGCGCTGGGCGAACTTCCCTGGGGAAAGCATTCCACAGACGGGGAGCCACTGCAGAGAAGGCCCTGTTCTCGCCTTGCCACCCTCCAGACCTCTTGAGGAGGAGGCACACGAAGAAGGGCCTCATAAGATGATCTCAGGGTCTAGGTAGGTTCATATGGAAAGAGGCGGTCCTTGAGGTATTGTGGTCCTGAGCCGTTTTATGGCTTTATAGGTCAAAACCAGCACTTGGAATTGGGCCCGGAAAATAATTGGTAGTCATGACTTCCCCCTAAGGATCCTGGGAGCTCTGGAGGTTGCTGAGAGTGTGTAGGTGACGCCTGTCATGTAGTGTCATGTTGGGGTTTTTAAGCTTCTCTTTTAGCATGTCCCACAGCACTGCCTGGACTGCTAGTGGCGCGACCAATGCTCGGGCTGTCTCAAACACCTCGGGCCTGCAGAGGCTGAGGAATAGGCCCCGCTTCCGCTCCTCTGACCCTTCCGTCAGCTTGTTGGCTTGGAGGTAGCAGTCGAACTGAGCGAGGTAGGAGTCCCATGATTCAGAGGCTGGGGCAAACAGCAGTAGAGGCATGAGTGAAGCCATGGTTCCGATGCAGAACTGTCAACTTTTCCCTTTTCTTGCAAGGAATCCTATTCGGAATAAAGGACCTTCCCTTAAAAAAAGGGAAACGTTGACAGCTATGTTCCAATGCCAACGTGGTGGGTGATGGATGGGACACAGTGCTCTAGCCAGAACGGTCAGCTCTGAATTGGGTCTCTTCAGTGATTTCACTCAGGGTTTCAGCTCAGTGATTCCACTTGGTGAGTGTCCTAATCTGGCTGTGCTCTGATGTCCATCCTATCCCACCTTTGTTGCCAGTATTAAGTAGTGGGTGGACATATCAGACGACACAGAGATTTCTGCAAGTCGCTCTTTATAAGTAAGCTGGAACTGAACTGAACAGCTCAGCCGGCCAGCTTTTATAGGCAGCTAGCTGTCCACATTGTAACCACAACAGCCCAGGGTTTCCCGCCTAAATTAACTGACGTGGACCTGAGTGAAAACTACAGTATTTTTTGCACCATAACACTCACTTTTTTCCTCCTAGAAAGTAAGGGGAAATGTCTGTGCGTGTTATGGAGCGAATGCCTGCGGGTGGCAGGGGGGATCTGCTGCAGTCGTGAGCAGAGGATCCATGGTTCCCCTTCCTTCCCTCCTCCGTGGTTACAAAGCATGGATCCACATGGATCCTCAGGATTTTTACATTGGGCTACTCCAAACTCACTGTCAGATCACATGTCTGTGGCCACAGCATGAACCACAAAAATCATATATCCACTATTTTGTTTAGAATATTTTTTTTCTTGTTTTCCTCCTCTAAAAACTACGTGCGTGTAATGGTCTGGTGCGTGTTATAGAGCGAAAAATACGGTATATACACAATACCCCTGGTGGCCAGGGATTCTTTGGGAAAGCTGTGTCTTATTGAAAGCTGGATGGTGATACTTCAAACTTTGAGTCCTACTGGGGCTCACCCAGCACACTTCATGGCCGGGCAGGGATTTGAACCCCGGTCTCCCAGATCCTAGTTCACCACCCCTGACCTCTACACTCACTGGGAAGCTTCGTTGTGGAGAGCATTCCACAAGCAGGATTGGCTAGATAATGGAGACCACCACTTTCTCCCTCTCCAAATCCCTTTGTCCTCAAGAAGATCCTTGCTGCTCTCGTTTCAGGGTCCGGCGCTGATCCAGGAGGTGGGTTTGAACTTCCCTGCAGCTGAGTCGCCTCTGCCCGTCCTCGAGGAGACGCCACTCTGCTCCACGGTCAAGCAGGAGGGCGGTGCCGATACCAGCTCCCCTAGACTGGGAGGTGGGTTTCTCTTTATGGTCCCATCTTCCTTAGGTGGCTTTTGTCTCCTGTGACTTCTTCTGCCCAGCGTTTGGGATTCACAATACATGGGAACCTGAAGCTCGGGGCCAAATATGGCCCTCTAAGCCAGCCTTTCTCAACCTGTGGGTCCCCTAGATGTCGTTGAACTACAACTCCCATCACCCCTAGCTAGCAAGGCCAGAGCTCAGGGATGATGGGAGTTGTAGTCCAACAACATCTGGGGACCCACAGGTTGAGAACCACTGCGAGGGTGGCGCCACCTGCTGTTGGGCTCCCTGCATTCCACCGTATTAGCCGCAATGGGCAGCAGCTGCCATTGGATTTGCTAGTGGTTATTATGGTCCCCATATGTTAGTTGTTTTATTTTATATGTTTAAAAGCGTATCTTATATGTTTAAGGGGATGTCTTAGTTTAGATGTTGAAGAGAGTTGTTGTTGTTGTTTAGTCGTTTAGTCGTGTCCGCCTCTTCGTGACCCCATGGACCAGAGCACACCAGGCACTCCTGTCTTCCACTGTCTCCCGCAGTTTGGTCAGACTCATGCTGGTAGCTTCGAGAACACTGTCCAACCACCTCGTCCCCTGTCCTCCCCTTCTCCTTGTGCCCTCCATCTTTCCCAACATCAGGGTCTTTTCCAGGGAGTCTTCTCTTCTCATGAGGTGGCCAAAGTATTGGAGCCTCAGCTTCAGGATCTGTCCTTCCAGTGAGCACTCAGGGCTGATTTCCTTCAGAATGGATAGGTTTGATCTTCTTGCAGCCCATGGGACTCTCAAGAGTCTCCTCCAGCACCAGAATTCAAAAGCATCCATTCTTCAGCAATCAGCCTTCTTTATGGTCCAGCTCTCACTTCCATACATCACTACCGGGAAAACTATGGCTTTAACTATACGGACCTTTGTTGGCAAGGTGATGTCTCTGCTTTTTAAGATGCTGTCTAGGTTTGCCATCACCTTACTCCCAAGGAGCAGGTGTCTTTTAATTTTGTGGCTGCTGTCACCATCTGCAGCGATCATGGAGCCCCAGAAAGTAAAATCTCTCACTGCCTCCATTTCTTCCCCTTCTATTTGCCAGGAGGTGATGGGCCCAGTGGCCATGATCTTCGTTTTTTTGATGTTAACTGAATTAATATTCCACCCTTCCTCTACAAAGGGCAGCAAACACATAATACGATTTAGAAACACAAGCATAGCACAGAAATATTTTAAAACAGATCGAACCATTCTAGAAACAAATAACGATTAAAAACACTGAAAAGCAGTTGCAGTTTAAAATGTTCTAAAGTTAATAATTACAATTAAAAACCTGCTCCTGTCCAGTGATCTCGAGGTTGCCGGGAACAGTATTCTGCAGTATTCCAACGCCTGGGAAAAGAGAAGTGTATTCAAATTCCTCCTGAAAGTTAATACTGAAGGAGACAGGCTCACCTCACTAGTGAGGGCGTTCCACATCTGGGGAATTTAATCTATTCATTTGTATTTAATTGTTCTGTTCTGCTCTGAAATGGGGATTTTTAAAAGAATTGAGGGGTGGCTTTTTTTTTTTTTTTGTATCTATGATGTAAACCGCTTAGAGATTTCTTTGAAATATGGCGTGGCATATAAATCACTTAAATGCAGTGGTTTTTTCCCAAAAAAGAAATGTTTAGGGGTACAGTGGTACCTCTGGTTGCAAACGGGATCCGTTCCGGAGGCCCGTTCACAACCTGAAAAGTGCGGATCGCGATTCGCCGTTTCCGTGCATGCACTGACGTCATTTTACGCATATGCGCAAGTGGCAAAACCCGGAAGTAACCCTTTTTGGTACTTCCGGGTCCCCACGGTACGCAACCTGAAAACGCACAACCTGAAGCTAACGTAACATGAGGTATGACTGTACTCTCATTTTCCTACTCATATTAAAATACTGCCCCTCAATGGGGCCAAACTTAGATTCACAATATGTTTCGGGGTATGCATATCCCTGCGTCTCCCCATAACAAAGCACTGCTTAAATGAATAAATTCTCTGTATTCCTGGCAGGTGATGGGTGGATCACCAAGGGCAAAGAGGAGAAGACCCACCTCGAAAATACCGAGCTGGTCAAACTCTGTGGGCCTCGTGGGGAGGTCTCTCCTGGCCCCAAGAAGGGGGAGAAGCCTCTGCGAGCCGCGAAGGATCAGTAAAGGGGCGGGAAAACTCCCTGGCGCCCAGAGGGGATGTGTTCCCCCCTGTTTAGGAGAGAGCGGGGAACGGGGCCAAGCAGTCGTCGTCAAGAGGAGGCGCAGGAGTCGGGGGGAGAAGGTGTGTGGCATGTGCGGGAGAAGCTTCAGCCGGACCACGGTGCTCGTCGCGCACCAGAGGACTCACACGGGCGAGAAGCCGTTCATGTGCCAGGACTGCGGGAAGTGCTTCAGCTTGAAGTCCACCCTGGTGGCGCACGAGAGGACGCACACGGGCGAGAGGCCTTACAGCTGCTCGCAGTGCGGCAAGCGCTTCACCGTCAGCTCGGACCTCACGCGCCACTACCGCATCCACGTCGGGGAGAAGCCCTTCAGCTGCCCCGAGTGCGGCAAGAGCTTCAGCCGCAAGACCCAGCTCCTCAACCACCAGAAGGTCCACACCAGGGAGAAGGCCTACAAGTGCTCGCGGTGCGGCGAGGCCTTCAGCCGCAGCTCCAGCCTCATGATCCACGAGGGCTCGCACACGGGCGAGAAGCCCTTCAAGTGCCCCGACTGCGACAAGTCCTTCAACACGTCCTCGCAGCTGGTCAAGCACCACCGCGTCCACACCGGGGAGAGGCCCTACACCTGCTCCGAGTGCGGGAAGAGCTTCAGCCAGCGGCAGATCCTCATGGTCCACCAGAGGATCCACACGGGGAGAAAAGCCCTTCAAGTGTGCCACGTGCGGCAAGTGCTTCTGCGACCGGGCCGTCCTCATCCGCCACCAGAAGGTCCACACGGGCGAGAGGCCCCACCAGTGCGCCACCTGTGGCAAGAGCTTCTCTCACCGCGCCGTCCTCGTCCGGCACCAGAAGGTCCACACGAGAGAAGCTCTGAACGCGCTCGGACTCCAGGAGGAGCCTCCGCCCAGCAAAGAGCCCAGACTTCACCCCAAGTTGCCTTAAGTCTCAAGGTGGCTACTGTTACCCCCATAGAATGTGGTTTGCCAGCAGTCTGCAGTGGCGTTTCCCTCCTGACTTTGGTTGCATGGCGGCAAAGTTATTTATTAGTTGGACTGCAGTGGTGCTGGAGAATGGTAAACCGTGGCTGGGTGCTACAGGGGACTGGTTTTCTGCAAAAACAAACAAATCAGAAATCATTTTCGGGGGTGCGGAAAATAATTTGCCTGCTTTCATCTAGGACAGCAGTTCTCAGCCTGTGGGTCCCCAGATGTTGTTGGACTACAACTCCCATCATCCCTTAGCTCTGGCCTTGCTAGCTAGGGGTGATGGTGTCGGAATCCCCGTTCGACCGAGCTGATAAAGCTCATCCTCTGATGATAATTAACAACCTGAGCCTTTGATGAGACCTCAGGCACATTCCATTCAGCAGAGAATCCAAAACAGCACGCGGAAGTGATGAGATTTATGGCTACATGCTATGCTTAATTTCTTACTACGCAGACAGCAAAGAAATATACATCCTCTCTGTGAAAGCAGAGAGCAACTGAACAACAAAGGAACAAAGGAACAGGAAACCACCAACGTCACATCCGTCTCCCGTGAGACTTCCAACAGCCTGGAAGGTCTCTGGAATGTAAACAGAGTCCTGTGACTCCAAGCAGCTGCACAGTGGCAAAACAGAAACTAACAGATGGGAGTTGTAGTTCAACATCTGGGGACCCACAGGTTGAGAAAGGCTGATCTAGGAGAAGATGATCTGCAGTTACTTCTCGACTCCGACAACTGCTGGTGAAGTTGCTAGGAGAAACCCAGCTGATTTAAGGCCCCTCCATACATTGGGTTGTAGTCGGCCAACTCCTACTCTTGAGTAGACCCACTGAAATGAAATAACTAGGTTAATTAACTCCAGTGGCTCTACTCTGAGTAGGGCTCAAAGCCCATGCTTGTCCTACTGAGGTCAATGGACACAACTATCTTAAGTTTGCTCATTTCTATGCGCCTAGAACGTGGTTAAATACATCCCTGGTGTTTCGTTGTGGGAGTATACTGTAAAATATTCTTATCACTCTGCATCAGCAGGAAATTACAGGATACAAATTGATGGGAAATAAAGCAGTGGTTCTCAGTGACCTTTGCAGACACAATCAGTATTGAAAGCGGTATTTTGTGGGGCTTCCCTGATAGCACAAGGTTCACAAATTATCATGAATGTGCAAGACGGGTTCTCCGTGTTCATGTTATTAAGCTATGCGTTACAGTGAATTGAAGGATATACACATAACCATGTGCAGTACATTTTGTTACGGTGGGCACCCAAAGATTTATTTTAAGGTGAACGTTTATTGAATATAGACTCATACTCAGTGATAAAGGACATTGTTTTTATTTATCAAACAAACAAAAGAAACTAAACTTTTTTTTTATTAACAACTAAACTTTACTTTAAAAATAAGACAAAAACACAAAATTTTTGCTTTAGCGATAACCAGGTGCGTACAAAGATACAGTCAGTTTTCATGATCTTTACCTTTAACCAGAGAACGCGCTAACCCAAACCAAAATGGATTAAAGCGTCTTCATCTTCCTGCCCCAAAGAAGGAGATGTTGCTCACCAGATGTGAGCAAAACGGGGTGAGTGGAGCTCAAGACAGGAGACACAGGCAGAAGAAAAAGACTGGAATGAAATTGCAGCTTCTGTCTGTGCTGCTTCCTGAGACAGATGTCAGCAGAAGCTGCAGATCCATCCCAGCCTTTTTCTTCTGCCTCTGCCTGCTTCCTTCTTCCTCCCTTCTGCCTTTGCCGTTTCCCTGCGGAGTCCTGTCGGCTGAGGGAGACATCTTGCTGCTCCATACTCTCCTCCTCACCACAGGCCCTGGTTTTTGGGTTTTTTAACACCCTGTGTTCACACCAATGGGTCTCATTTATGCACATGCACTGGCTAGCAGTCCGTATACTTGAAACGGCCCTCGTTTTCAAAACTTGTTTCTACATATTTTGGCTCATCGCCGTGCCATTCGTACCACAACCTTGAGCGGGACGTGCCTGCTCCTCCTTTCAAATTCTGGGGTCTTGCCATCAGCCTGCTGCTGCAATGGTTAGAGAAAGGTGCCTAATAATAATTATAATATTTGGGCCATTATCCCATTAGAGAAATCCTACTCAATCATATTAATTGCAACCTTCCGATCACTGGGAAGGCACCCCGGAGACTGTGGAATGCATCACATCTCCCACACCCAAGACAGAGAATTGTAGAGTTTGAAGGGGCCCTGAGGGTCATCTAGTCCAACCCCCTGCAATGCAGGAATCTCAGCTAAAGCATCCATGACAGGTGGCCACCCAACCTCTGCTTATAAACCACCAAGGAACGAGAGTCCACCACTGACCGAGGGAGGCTCTTCCACTGTCAAATAGCTCTTCCTGATGTTCTTCCTAATGTTTAGTTGGAATCTCCTTTCTTGCAACTTGAAGCCATGGGTTCGAGTCCTGCCCTCCAGAGCAGGAGAAGAAAACAAGTGTGTTCCATGTGACAGCTCTTGAGATATTTGAATATGGCTCTCATATCTCCAGTCTCGGCTTTTGCAAGCTAAACATACCCAGATCCTTCAACCGTTCCTCATAAGGAGAGTAAGCTCCCACCTCAGAGAGGGGAGATCCAGTCGCAGGTAGCCCCTCCCCACTGCTGCAGATACTTCTGCAGCTCTTGCCTTGCAGTGTTTCTTAACCTTGGGTCCCCAGAAGTTGTTGGACTACAACTCCCATCATCCCTGAGGTCTGGCCTTGCTAGCTAGGGATGATGGGAGTTGTAGGCCAAAATCATCTGGGGACCCAAGGTTGAGAAAGGCTGAATTAGAGCATCGGCCTTGCCCACAGAAGACCCCAAGGCCTTCTCTAGCATCTCTAGCTAGAACTGGGACTGTCATCTCTGAAATCCTTCTAGTGAGTTTAGACAACACTGAGCTTGATTCACCAGTGGTTTGGCTCAGTGTAAGCTTCCTGCGTCCTTGTGATAAAGTCGAAAAGGGGGCAGACCCAAGGAAGGCTTGGATCTGAAAGATCCCAGCCCAATCCTATGTCTGCTTGGAAGTAAGGCCTGTTGGACTCAGTGGGGCTAACTCCCGGGTAAGGTGGGGCGTTCGGGTTGCAGCCTTAGGAGTGCAAACGCCTTCCTGTTTACACACAAGTAAGAACATAGGAAGACACCGGCTGCTGGATCAGCCCAGAGGCCCGTCCAAAATCCTGTTCTCACAGGGGCCAGACAGATTTCCCCTGACGGGAAATGCTGCAAGCCAGACCCCAGAGCACAACAGCAACACTCTCCCTTCTTGTGGTTTCCAGCATTCAGAAGCACACTTTCCTCCCAGCTCTGGAGGTGGCCGTGGCTGCTGTGGCAAGTAGCCATTGGTCAGCAGTGATGCCTACACATGCGCACTTGATATGTTTGTGAGGAGAGGGCCAACGATACAGACCCGCCTTACAGGACTGTTGTGCGGATCATTGGCAGCGTGTCTGCGAAGCGCCGGACAATTAATCAGTGTTACTGTTATTTATAACATCTCATCTCAGCTATCTGCCAATCTCCCATTCCCACCACCCTTCTGAGTAATACCCCTCCCCACCTTCTCACTATATAGAAGGATCTGGCAACTTCTGTTTCAGTGTATCTGAAGAAGTGTGCATGCACACGAAAGCTCATACCAAGAACTAACTTACTTGGTCTTTAAGGTGCTACTGGAAGGAATTTTTTTGTTTTGTTATTTATAAGACATGGGTAATGTTTTAGATCTGGGGGTCCCTAACCATATGCCCACATATGCCAGTGTGGTGTAGCGGTTAAGAGCGGTAGACTTGTAATCTGGAGAACCGGGTTCGCTTCCCGCTCCTCCACATGCAGCTGTTGGGTGACCTTGGGCCAGTCAAACTTCTGTGAAGTCTCTCAGCCCCACTCACCTTGTTGTGGGGGAGGAAGGGAAAGGAGAATGTTAGCCGCTTTGAGACTCCTTCGGGTAGTGATAAAGTGGGATATCAAATCCAAACTCCTCTCCTCCTCCTCCTCCTCCTCCTCCTCCTCCTCCTCCTCCTCCTCCTCTTCTTCTTCTTCTTCTTCTTCTTCTTCTTCTTCTTCTTCTTCACAAGCATCACGGGACACTCAGACAGCCCCTCAGGGCGCTAACCTAGCCTCCAGCTCCTCCCAATGTTAGTTTTTATAGGTTTTGGTTGTTTCTGGGGGGGGTTTCCTTCTTTTTTGTCTTTTGCTTTGGGGATATGATTTGCTTGAAGGGGGACATTCTGATGACCGTCTCCTGTAAAATGGGCCTTTTCGTGGCGCCCTCAGCGCCTTAGATTTGCCAATGTGCCCCTGGTTCCAAACAGGATTGTGGCCCTGTGTTTAGAGACTTCCCTTTTATTTCTAAATGCTTTTTTTGTGTGTCTTCTGGATCTCCTTTGAATAAAGGCCTTTGAATTGGTTAACGGGCGTCTGTAGTTTGTTCCGTACACGTACACACAAAAACCTCGCCATTTCGGCAACATCGCAGGGCATTAATGAGGCGGTCAGACTGCAGGCCCTGCCATTGGCACCCCTCACAGAACTACAATTCCCAGAATCCCCTGGGGAGAGGGAATGACCGTTAAACCACTCTGAGAATTATAGCTCTAGGAGAGAGAATAGGGGTCTCCCCTAACGGGTCTGACCACCCCTAACACAACACTTCCCAGAATTCTTTGGGGGGAAGCCATGACAGTTTCCAATTCCTTTCCATTCTCCCTGTCCCCCAAATGGTCACTGAACCCGCACCCCTCCTTCCTTTGTGCTTCCCCCACCCCCTAAAAAAATTCTTACAGCTTTGCAAAACTTCGGGTTTTCCTGAAGCCCACTGTGACCCCCCTCTTGAGCATGGGTTTGGCCACATAAACAACAACACACACCACTTGAACGTCAGAATTGAAGGGAATTTTGGCTCTGGACCACATCTGAACGGGCCTTATGATTGCAGCGCTATCCCTGCAGAAAGTAAGCTGAGTTTACATTTCGTGTGTGTGTGTGTGTGTGTGTTCCTACATACAAAAATGTGTGCTCCCAAATTATCTTAAGTTCTTCATTCTTACATAGCAGCTTCTTTTCATTAGAACAAGAAGTTGCTTTTTCAACTCCTCCGGCAATATTAATGGCTCCAGAGCAAAACCAAACTAGATTTCTCCAGGGAGGAAACATTCCCTCCCCACCATCTGCCAAGAACTTTCCCTGAAAATTAAATATATTTACAGTAAGACCAAAGATACATCGCTTGCTCCCCTACAATCACAGATCTTCATCAACCTGGCATCCTGGCAGATGTTTTGGGCTACATTAGCTCTAGACAGCAAGTGCATTAAAAAAACCCCTCTTACCGTATTTTTCGCTGTATAAGATGCACTTTTTTCCTCCTAAAAAGTAAGGGGAAATGTGTGTGTGTCTTACGGAGTAAATGCAGGCTGCGCAGCTCTCCCTCTTGCTGTTCTGGCTTCAGGGATAGCTGCGCAAAGCCTCTTCAGCGAAGCGGGAGCGTTCCTCCCGCTTTGCTGAATAATAATAAAATAATTTTATTTATATCCCACCCTCCCCAGCCAAAGCCGGGCTTAGAACGGCTTAGAACAGTAAAATAATACAGCATTCTAAAATCAATTCATTACTAATAGGCTTTGCGCTGCTCTGTTGAACCCAGCACAGCAAGAGGGAGAGCTGCGCAGCGCCTCTTGTTGTGATGCCTTAGCCTGATCCTCCCTCCTCCTTCCTCCAACAACATTTGATTCAGAATATTTTTTTCCCTTGTTTTCCTCCTCTAAAAACTAGGTGCGTCTTATGGCCGGGTGCGTCTTATGGAGCGAAAAATACGGTGCTTTCATTCCCACCCCGCATAGTGAATGTGATAATGCGGAGGCAGGGAGCTTTGGCTGAAAACATCGTCCTCTGCGGAATCTATGATACGAATGTCATCACGCCGACTGCTGTTTCGTCTGCCAACGGGTTTCCTCCATTTGGGAAGATGCACCACTGGAAAACCACCGAGACTCGAGTCGAACCGGTTCTCGCATCCCGGGCACTTGGCCATTTCCTCCCCGGCTTGGATCCTCTGGAGTCGGGAAGCTGGGCTGAAGCTTTTCCCGCATTCCGCACACAGCTTCTCTTCCACGTGGGTGAGCTGGTGCCTCACCAGACTCGAGTTGGAGGGGAAGCCCTTTTCACAGGCGGTGCACTTGTAGGGTTTCTCACCCGTGTGGACCCTCTCGTGCACAACGAGGCTGGAGGGGCGGCTGAACCCTCTCTCGCAGACGGAGCACTTGTAGGGCTTCTCTTCCGCGTGGATCCTCTGGTGGGTGATCAGCTGAGAGCTGAAGCTGAACCTTTTCCCGCACTCCGCGCACCAGTACGGCTTCTCCTCCCGGTGGATTTTCTCGTGAGCGATGAGGCTCGTGGCGTGGCTGTAGCTCTTCTCGCACGCCGAGCACTTGTAGGGCTTCTCACGGCGGTGGGTCCTCTCGTGCACCACCAGGGAGGGCTTCTGGTTGAAGCTTCTCTCGCACACAGAGCACTGGTAGGGCTTCTCCCCAGTGTGGATTCTCTGGTGCCGGACGAGGCTGGAGCTCAGGCTGAAGCTTTTCCCACACTCCACACACCGGTAGGGCTTCTCTCCCGTGTGGATTCTCTGATGAGTAATAAGGTTGGACCTCTTGTTGAAGCTTTTCCCGCAATCTGCGCAAGTGTGTGACTTCTCCCCGCTGTGGATTCTCTGATGTCTAACCAGACTTGCCCTGTTGTTGAAGACCTTCCCACATGCGGAGCAAAGCTCTTGGCTCTCCTGTCCTGTCCCTATGTTGGCTGCGTTCTTCTCCAGCCCCACAAGAAGAACTGGTTCCAGCAGCTGCTCTTCAAGATGGCTGCCTGGCGACATGGGTTGGGTCTCGGGGGCTTCCTGCTCGTCACGGGATTTGGACTTGGTCTCAGTGCTTTGGAGCAATGCAACGTGTGACCCCGCCAGCTCAAAGTTTTCTGGTTGAAGACCCCTCCTCTCATTCTCTCTTGTTCGCTCAGCAACTCCTGGGGAAAGGAGAAGATGTATCAGCGTGATTCACATGTAGTCATGAGAAGAGAAGAGAAGAGAAGAGAAGAGAAGAGAAGAGAAGAGAAGAGAAGAGAAGAGACCACATGGATCCCCTAGTCCAACCCCCGGCAATGCAGGAATCTTTCACCCAACATGAGGATCAAACCCCTGACCCTGAGTTCAAGAGTCTGATGTCCTACCGACTGAGCTATGCCTCAGGTTGATAGATGCAACAATGGCACCGGCAACAAGATGGAGAAAAAAACAGAAGGGAGGTGAAACAACATCTTAAATAGAGGGTAATAATAATAATAATAATAATAATAATAATAATAATATATTTATATCATGTATTTTTCCCCAGACCAGAACTCATGGCTGCTTACACAAACACAGATAAAAGACAAAAAACTTAAAAGATAATCTGTAAAAAGTAAAGGTAAAAGGTAAAGGACCTCTGGGTGGTTAAGTCCAGTCAAAGGCGACTATGGGGTTTCGGCGCTCATCTTGCTTTCAGGCCGAGGGAGCTGGTGTTTGTCCACAGACAGCTTTCCGGGTCATGTGGCCAGCATGACTAAGCCGCTTCTGGAGCAATGGAACACCGTGGCGGAAACCAGAGTGCACGGAACCGCCGTTTACCTTCCCGCCGCAGCGGTACCTATTTATCTACTTGCACTGGCATGCTTTCGGACTGCTAGGTGGGCAGGATTTACTTTAAAAGGTAATTAAACTATGATAGAATCTATCATCTATCTATCTATCATCTATCTATCTATCTATCTATCTATCTATCATCTATCTATCTATCTATCTATCATCTATCTATCTATCTATCTATCTATCTATCTATCTATCATCTTATTAAAAAAGATAAGGCAGCCTGTTTCAGGAAGTTTTTTATGTTTAATGTTTTGCTGTGTTTTTATTATGTTGGAAGCTGCCCAGAGTGGCTGGGGCAACCCTGTCAGATGGGTAAAGGTAAAGGTACCCATGACTGTTAGGTCCAGTCGCGGACAACTCTGGGGTTGCGGCGCTCATCTCGCTCTATAGGCCAAGGGAGCCGGCGTTTGTCCACAGACAGCTTCCTGGTCATGGTGGCCAGCATGACTAAGCCGCTTCTGGCGAACCAGAGCAGCACACGGAAACGCAGTTTACCTTCCCGCCGGAGCGGTACCTATTTATCTACTTGCACTTTAACGTGCTTTCGAACTGCTAGGTTGGCAGGAGCAGGGACCGAGCAACGGGAGCTCACCCCATAGCGGGGATTCGAACCGCCGACCTTCTGATTGGCAAGCCCTAGGCTCTGTGGTTTAGACCACAGTGCCACGTAATATATTATTATCATCATCATCACCAACATCATCATCATTATCAATAACAACAATAACAGCAGCAGCAATTTTGAAGCCTTTTCCTTAAAACAAAAGTAGACAGTTCCCAGAGGCCTGTCAGAATAAATGAGACTTCACCTGCTGGCAGAAGGACAACAAGGAAGGAGCCAGTCTGACTTCTATAGGAAAGGAGAAAGCCAGTGTGACAAATTAGGGGAGCACAGATCTATCAAGACATGATGGCTTAAAGGATCCGCCAACTTCTGGAGACAAAAAAAGCTTGTTTGTGGTTTCCAAGTGGCCTCACCTGTTGGCTCGCTGCAAGCATTTCCTTCCGGCCTGCACCGACGCTCAGCCCAGATCTCATTTCCTTGCTCCACTTTTGCCAACGTCTTGGGGTTTGTGATGGCTAAGAACAGGGAAGAGGAAAGAATGGGTAATGGGAATTGGATGAAGACACCCTTGTGTCCCTCTGTGGTTTGTATGACAACCCAGTATACCTGAAGGCGCGTCTCCACCCCGATCGTTCTACCCGCGTCTCCACCCCGATCGTTCTACCCGGACACTGAGGTCCAGCTCCGAGGGCCTTCTGGCGGTTCCCTCGCTGCGAGAAGTGAGGTTACAGGGAAGCAGGCAGAGGGCCTTCTCGGTAGTGGCACCCACCCCGTGGAATGCCCTCCCAGCAGATGTCAAAGAGAAAAACAACTACCAGACTTTTAGAAGACATCTGAAGGCAGCCCTTCAGATTTAATGTTTAACAGACCACTGTATTTTGTTGGAAGCCGCCCAGAGTGGCTGGGGAAACCCAGCCAGATGGGTGGGGTATAAATAATAAATTATTATTATTATTATCAAGAAAGCGACTTGAGACACAGCGGGGTTGAAAGAACCTTGCTGCGCTCCAGACCACCAATGGGTACAAACCCTCCCACTGCCCAGAATCTCATCCCACGTTATCATCCCCTTCCCCTTCCCAGCAAATATTACATCTGAATGGCATACCTCCTACGTGGTTCCTGGCGCTGTGGAGATCCGTTGCCAGCAGCTCGTCCATTTGTTCCAGCCGAGAGATTGTGCCCGGCTTGGTGATGGCCAGAACTGGTCAGGAAGGAAGCCAGGGGAGAAGAGAAGGAAGTCACAGTCATTTCTGAGTGTACAGAAGGTGTGGGGAACCCTGGAGCCTCCGGGTCACTCTGTTTGGCCTCCCCAGACAACACCTGTTAGGAGCAGGCCAGCAAAACAATCACTCGTCTCACAAAGTAACGAGTTGGTTCACGAGGCCAGGCCTCATGAGCGCGGCAACTTGTCCCTGTAGATCTTGCCCCTATGAGGCAGTTGTGGGGACCAAAGTTCTCTGCCTTCCTGCAGTTCCCCAAAGCACTCCCCAAAGCGCTGCAATCCCGCTGGCTGTCCTGGCTTCTTGCTTGGCCACGCACAGCATCTCCTGGGCAATGGGAGCCTTCGCCCCCTGCCCGAGAGAGGCTGCGCGTAGCTATCCCATAAGCCAGGACAGCCAGTGGGATCGCTGCACTGCAATCCCGCTGGCTGTCCTGGCTTCTGGGATTCAGATTTTTTTTCTTCTTGTTGTCCTCTTCAAAAAACTACGTGTATCTTATGGTCTGGTGCGTCTTATAGAGCGAAAAATACGGTATTACAAAATATAAGCAAAATTTTGCAAATACATACATATATATTTCAGATAAGCACACATATATAAAAAAGAACAGAAAAGAAGAAAAGAAAAATAAAAAATAAAGAGGAAAGGAGAAAAGTTGGAAGAATTTCTTCCAAATTTATTCTACAAATATCTCAGTATGAAAATAATAATAAAATTTCATTGATTGACTTCCATCGCTCACACTGCACTTCCTATATACTGCTGCCCCAGAGAAGCGGATACGGAGCAATGGATCCAAACTACAAGAAAGAAGATTCCACCTAAACATTAGGAAGAACTTCCTGACAGTAAGAGCTGTTTGACAGTGGAATTTGCTGCCAAGGAGTGTGGTGGAGTCTCCTTCTTTGGAGGTCTTTAAGCAGAGGCTTGACAACCATATGTCAGGAGTGCTCTGATGGTGTTTCCTGCTTGGCAGGGGGTTGGACTCGATGGCCCTTGTGGTCTCTTCCAACTCTATGATTCTATGATATACATTTTAAGCAAGATTGTATCTGTTATTCCGTATTTTTCCAATACAATCTCACACAAATATTCTAATCAATAAGTTTTCTAAATCTTTCATAAATCTATTCTGAACACAACCAATACCTTACATTTAATCTTTGTCTACATAAATAATCATTTAAACATTTCCATTGTTTCTGGATTATATTTTTTGGTTTTTGTCTTATCAAATCAGTTAACTCTGCTAATTCCAAGTATTCGCATAATTTATTCAACCATTCTTCTTTGGTTGGAACATAATTTCCTTTCCAATTATTGGCTATTAACATCTTTTAATATTTCCTGTAAACTGCTTAGACATTTTACAGTGGTCAAGCAGTGCAGACGTTTTGGTAAAGAAATAGAAAGCTTTCCCCGCGGCCGGTGGTTTAAAACCCAGACCTGCCCTCTTACCCAGTGAGGTTGTGTTCTCATAGTTTTCTCGCATGACATCCTTGTAGAGGGTCCTTTGGTGGGCATCCAAAAGGTCCCACTCGCCATCTGTAAAATCCACAGCCACGTCCTCAAACCTCAGCAGATTCTGGGAACGAAATCGGCATTTGTGATCAGACTCGGGTAACCAGGCTGGTGTGTGTGTGTGTGATGTTTAGAATACTTGGGCCAAATCTACACACTATATAAAAAAAATGCTGTGAATATGCTTTAAAAAAACACGTTTTGAAATCTGTATGGAATTTGCCATTAGCTCACCAGCGCCATCTGGTGTCGCAATTTTATAATGCACTTTAAACACAAAGCAATTATATTTGCAGCTGTATAGCTGAGTCCTGACATTCTGCCTCCAAAGCTGCTCACACTGCCCAGTAGCATAATAATAATAATAATAATAATAATAATAATAATAATAATAATAATTTATTTATATCCCGTCCTCCCCAGCCAAAGCCAGGCTCAGAGCGGCTAACAACAGTAAAATAGCAGTTTACATAAAGTCACAGTCAATTAATTCTAAAATCAATTCAGAATCAAAATAATAGCAACCATTGGGCTAGAGTTCTGTGAGGATTACCAAAGGAGGGGGTCACACTGTGCCTTAGCCAAAGGCCTGGTGGAACAGCTCTGTCTTGCAGGCCCTGTTGAAAGATGTCAAGTCCCGCAGGGCCCTAGTCTCTTGTGGCAGAGCGTTCCACCAAGTTGGGGCCAGTACTGAAAAGGCCCTGGCCCTAGTTGAGACCAATCTAACCACCTTCAACTTAGGACCTCCAAGATGTTGTCATTTGTGGACCTTAAGGTCCTCTGTGGGACATACCAGGAGAGGCGGTCCTGTAGGTACGAGGGTCCTAGGCCGTATAGGGCTTTAAAGGTTAAAACCAGCACCTTGAACCTGATCCTGTACTCCACCGGGAGCCAGTGCAGCTGGTATAGCACCGGGTGAATGTAATCCCACGGTGAGGGCCCCATAAGGAGCCTCGCCGCGGCATTCTGCACCCGCTGGAGTTTCTGGGTCAGCCCCAAGGGCAGCCCCACATAGAGCGAGTTACAATAATCAAGTCTGGAGGTGACCGTCATGTGGATCACAGTGGCGAGGTCAGGGCAAGGGTGGTAAGGAGGGAATAAATACCCTCACCTGAACTACAGATCTTGCGTCTGTTTCCATTTCACGTTGCTCCCAAGGAAATTTTCCCGAGCCAGATGGGGGGAATGTTCTTGAGTCCTTAAGACGAGACTCCGGAAGAAAGGGAGGAGCTGCAAAAAAAGGCATCGTTCAGATTTCATCCTGTCCTCTCCCACCCCACCCCTGCCATCCCCATAAACAGTTTGAAAAGCCGCGGACAAGTAAGTTGCTAGTAGCAGAGAGCAAGCTCAAAGCATGTTGCTAGTAGCAGGCAGCTCGGCTGTGTCCCCACTGTCGGAGGCAGTATGCGCCTCAGAATGGCAGCCGTGGAGATCCCAAGTCGAAAGAGGGCCTCACACACTGTTTCGGCTGTTATTTATAAAACGAAACACCCCTTTGGTCCCGTCAGAGCCGGGGACGTACCAATCAGACTTTCGAGCTCCATCTTCAGGGACTCTGGAAACAAGGCAAAGAGAGAAACCGCTTTTTTTTGTATTCTGATCAACACACATTCCACCTTCCTTGAGGGAAACAGATAGCCTCATCATATACCTTAAGCAACCCTCAACAAGTGCCCAGAATCCTTTGAGGGAAATAATGCATTTTAAAAGGTATAAGTGCATACTCAAGCCATTTCTCTTTTTGTCTGCGCTGGATTCTGGAAGCAGAAATACCGGCAATGCCCTGGTTTGAGCTATGGCAACAAAGTTGTACCTTGGAAGTCGGATAGCCTAGATCTCAAATGTTTTGGCTCCCAAACAATCAAACCCGGAAGAGGGCCTTCTCGGTAGTGGCACCCGCCCTTTGGAACACCCTCCCATCAGATGTCAAAGAGAAACAGAACTACCAGACTTTTAGAAGACATCTGAAGGCAGCCCTGTTTAGGGAAGCTTTTAATGTTTAACAGACATAAAGTAGCGTGGGCTATCGTTTAGTTGTTTTTGCTTTAATTGCCGTACTTGTGTTTTTATGTTGTGAACCTCTCTGAGATCTTTTGATGCAGAGCTGTATATCAGTCTTTTAAAGAATAATAATCAGTGTTTCTTTCGGGTGGGGGGGGCCTCAAGGGTACATAGTACTGGCTAAAAGTGTGGCACATACTGTAACAATTTCACGGTGAGCCCAGCACCTTTTCAGTTGCACTGGGGTGGAGGGCCAGGTGCAAATTGCCTTCACTAGAGCTTTGATGGGCGTCTCGCTGCCCAAGAGAGAACTCAGAAGACCCCTGCTCACCTCGGAAGCAGTTCAGCGCCTCTCCCAAGACGGCCTTCCTCCTCTGAGAGAAATGGTGAAGCCTCAGTTCCACCTCGAGGAAGTTGCCTTGTCTGCTGCTGGAACTGCCAGTGGCCTGGAGGGAAGAGACGACAACAGGAACGACTTGGGGGAACAGTCTGCATTGCAGATACTATGCTGAAGCAACAGGATGCATGCAAATGGGCTCATCTTGGAATAAAAAAAAGAATTAATCCTTCTTTCCTCCCCCCACAACAACCCTGTGAGGGGTTGGTGAGGCTGAGAGGCCGTGACTGGGCTCAAGGCTTCATCGTGGCCGAGTGAGGACTCGAACCCTGGTCTCCCAGGTCCCAGGACACTCTAACTGGTAGACAGTACTGTCTCTCCAATGAATGGACGAGCAAGAAGCAGTCCCGTCTTTTCACTGGATTGGCAAAGTCTCACCTGCCAGCAGATTGGGAGAGGCTATGGAAAACAGATTTGAAATTAACGGCATGTTGTACACTGAAAGAAAATGATATGAAAATGATATACCGGTAGTATTTGACTATTGGGACGCGGGTGGCGCTGTGGGTAAAACCTCAGCGCCTAGGACTTGCCGATCGCATGGTCGGAGTTCGAATCCCCGCGGCGGGGTGCGCTCCCGTCATTCGGTCCCAGCGCCTGCCAACCTAGCAGTTCGAAAGCACCCTCAGGTGCAAGTAGATAACTAGGGACCGCTTACCAGCAGGAAGGTAAACGGCGTTCCATGTGCTGCGCTGGCTCGCCAGATGCAGCTTGTCACGCTGGCCACGTGACCTGGAAGTGTCTGCGGACAGCGCTGGCTCCCGGCCTATAGAGTGAGATGAGCGCACAACCCTAGTCTGGCAAGACTGGCCCGTACGGGCAGAGGTATCTTTACCTTTACCTTTACCTTTAGTATTTGACTCCTACTAAGTTAGGAAGTTTTCCCAGTAGTGATGTATGGAAGTGAGAGCTGGACCATAAAGAAGGCTGATCGCCGAAGAATGGATGCTTTTGAATTATGGTGCTGGAGGAGACTCTTGAGAGTCCCATGGACTGCAAGAAGATCAAACCTCTCCATTCTGAAGGAAATCAGCCCTGAGTGCTCACTGGAAAGACAGATCCTGAAGCTGAGACTCCAATACTTTGGCCACCTCATGAGAAGAGAAGACTCCCTGGAAAAGACCCTGATGTTGGGAAAGATGGAGGGCACAAGGAGAAGGGGACGACAGAGGACAAGATGGTGGGACAGTGTTCTCGAAGCGACCAACATGAGTTTGACCAAACTGCGGGAGGCAGTGGAAGACAGGAGTGCCTGGCGTGCTCTGGTCCAGGGGGTCACGAAGAGTCGGACACGACTAAACGACTAAACAACAACAACAACAAGTTAGGGAAAAATGTACAGAACAAGTAGAAACACCTGATGGAAATGTAAAGACAAAGACGGTACCTTTTATCACATGTGGTGGATGTGTAAGGCAACTAAAACCTTCTGGGAGATGATATTAGATGAATTGGGGGGGAAAATGTTTAAAATAACCTTTGTTAAAAACAACCAGAATAATAATAATAATAATATCTTTATTGTCATTGCCCCTCTCGGGACAACGAAATTACTTTTTTTATTAGCTTTTTTTATTAGGACTTATAGGTACCGAGATTCCAAATGACCAGAAAATACATTTCATGTATGCAACAACAGCCACACGGATGTTATTAGCCCAGAGATGGGAAGAAAAAACAATCTCAACCATGGAAGAATGGCAAACCAAGTTGGTGGACTATGCTGAAATGGCAAAATTAACTGGGAAGCTCAGAAACCAAGAGGACAAGATCTTTAAAAAAGAATGGGGAAAATTTGTAATATATCTACGAGACCATTGTAAACAGATGAAAACATTAGCAGAATTTTAACCACACTTGTAAAGTAACTAACAAAAAGTATAGATAATTTAGAGGGACAAGATATCTGGACAATGAATTGATATGCAGGCGTAAATATTAGCATTAGGACCCACGGAGAGTGGGGGGGAGAAGTCGCGAGATTCAGAGTATATGGACTTATAAATGATTTTGCTATATCTTGTTTATTTTTTTTAATCAAATAAAAATTATTTCCAAAAAAAGAAGTCGTCTCACCTGCTGGCAGTCAATATGCTCCTGCGACCCCCACGTTTCGCTCAGGCGGATGGGTCTCCGGGGACGGACTCTGCCCCCTTATCTCGATGATGTTCCCTGCAAGATTTTCCAGCCACCAGATCAGCTGCTGCTTCTGTTCTTCCAGAAAACGACAGAGATCCTTCCATTCTTGGACAATTTTCTCCCTCTCCACGTCTGCCTTCCTCTGCGATTAAAGAAGGAGGGTGAAGCACGTTTTGCAGAAAAATTAAGCTTGCTTCTGAGTGAAACTGCACAAGGCTGGGAAGCAGATCCCCCCCCCCCGGGTTCTCTTTCATATGCACAAAAACACACACCACATTTTCTCTCCTTCTCCCGCTCACACAGACACAGCCAAAGCCCTCTCCATTCCTTTCCCTTTGAGGGCAGTGGAAGACCCTCTATACGTGTATTTCTGGTGGCCCAACAAGGATAGCCAAACTTCCGAATGATACCATGGTCAATGGTACTGAAAGCAGCTGAGAGACAGAGAGAATTAACAAGGACGTATTTCCCCATCTTTCTCTCAACAGAGGTAACCGTCCAGGGCGACCCAAGCAGTTTCTGTCCTAAAACCGGTCCTAAACCCCAATTGAAATGGATCCAGAAAATCGGTTTCCTCCAAGAGCACCTACTGGATCTGGTCCGCAACCACCCGTTCGAGAACCTTGCCCAAGAAGGGGAGATTTTCTTGGCTGAAAATCACTTAGATTTTCAAAATCTAAGTTCCTTGAGGAGTAGTTATATGACCTGTTTAAAACCAGATTTCCGCACACAGTTGTCGCTGAGACATTTCAATGAAGCAGCTTTAAACACTAAAAAATGGCAGAGTACAGAGATACTACCACATTGTAATGATTGCCCAATTGTTGTTATATTTTAGGGTTGCCATATGTCTGGAGTTTCCCAGACACTGATGGTATTCAGCCCATTTTGGTAGTGTTTTTACTTTTTGAGATTTTGCCAAAAAAGCTCAACAACTTTTATGTTTTGTTGTGAACCACCCTGAGACCTCCGGGTGTTGGGTGGTGTATAAGTTGAATAAATAATAATAATAATCACTTTTTAAGATATGGTGACCCTATTATATTTTGTAAATTGCTTAGAAGCCTATTTTGGCATTAAGCGCTAGTTAAATATCACAGAGCAAGCACTTTCACAATAGGCTTGATTGCTAGAGCAATGTAACTCTGTAGGCACTCAAAATATTTTATATAGACATATTTCATATCAACATTATGGATTTCTTCATACGTAACTATAGTAGGGCAAATGGGCCTACCAGCAGTTCCTTGCTCATCCTTTGGTCCTCAGAAGCATCTTCCCTCGGTCTCCTTGGACGAAGCAGGGTCTCCCGCATCTTTTCAGAGGGAAATAAGCAGTACAGCTCAGTTCAGAGGTGGGTCAGTGGAGGGAGGCTTTCCCTGTTGTATTCCTGCCTGGCAGGTAGCAGTTAAAGGCACAGGGTGTCCCTTTTGGAAAGAGCAAGGGGTGAGCACAATGACTGGTTCTCCCGGGTTTCAGGCAGGGGAAATTCCCAGCCCTTCCTGGAGACGATGGAATCTGAACCTGGGAATCTTCCACCTGCAAAGCAAGTGAGCTATATGTCAAATATAATTGTGAGATTCTGAACCTCAGGGCTGAGAAAAAAGGGCTGCTGCTTTAAACAGGAACAACCAGCCCAGTGCTGCGCACACTGACTGGCAGCAGCTTTCCAGGGTTTCAAACACAGAGGCTTTCTCTGCAGTAAAGGTAAGGGACTCCTGACCATTAGGTCCAGTCGTGGCCGACTCTGGGGTTGCAGCGCTCATCTCACTTTATTGGCTGAGGGAGCCGGCGTACAGCTTCTGGATCATGTGGCCAGCATAACTAAGCCGCTTCTGGCGAACCAGAGCAGCGCACAGAAACGGCGTTTACCTCCCTGCCGGAGTGGTACCTATTTATCTACTTGCACTTTGATGTGCTTTTGAACTGCTAGGTTGGCAGGAGGTGGGACCGAGCAACGAGAGCTCACCCCGTTGCGGGGATTCGAACTGCCAACCTTCTGATCAGTAAGTCCTAGGCTCTGTGGTTTAACCCACAGTACCACCTGCGTCCCTTTCTCTGCAGTAGAACCACAGAATTGTAGAGTCAGTAGGGACCTGAGGGTCATCTAGTCCAACCCCTTGCGATTCAGGGGACCTCAGAGGACCTCTTCCAACTCAACAATTCTATGAAAAGAGCAGGGGTTTTGACCCCAAAGGGGGGGAAATGCCCATAAAGGGGGGCGCAGGTGAAAACCCGCCACTTCTGCCCCAAACTTACCTGAGCAGGTTCCAGGGTGCTCCCACTCCCCCCCACCGATGATGCGGAATAAAGCCGATGTAGGGAATGTGGGGCAGCTGGACGAGGAGGAGCAGAGTAACGAGGAAGGGGGAAGTTTTCAGGAAAAGGCCGAGCACTTCAATTGCTGCCCTGGGCAAAAGGTGATTTTCTCCATCCTGAAATAGCAAGCCTTGAAACGAAAGGGATCTACCCCAAACAGATCCCCTGATTTGGAGGAGGAGGAGGAGGAGGAGGAGGGGAGCAAGATCTGCCCCCACCCCGGTCCGCGATGCTCCCCGCTTTTGTCTCCGCGGAGGCGGAGGAGGCGCCGCCAAGCGCTTTGATCTCCTTTCCCTTTGATGTGCCTCCTTCTCTCCGTTCTCCGCAGCGATTGGGCGCAGCCGGGCGAAGCTCCGCCCCCACCGGAGAGAGAAGGACCGCGGCTGCCGCCAGGCGCCTCAAGGATGCTCAGAGCCCTCTTGCGGGGACGGGCAGAGGAGCCAGGGGTTGCCAACTGACCGGGGAAACCAGCCGCGCTCGCTCTCAAGCCTTAAGGCAGGGGTCAGCAAACTTTTTCAGCAGGGGGCCGGTCCAGTCTCCCTCAGACCTTGTGGGGGGCCTGACTATATTTTGGAAAATAATAATGAACGAATTCCTATGCCCCACAAATAACCCAGAGATGCATTTTAAATAAAAGTACACATTCTATTTATGTAAAAACACCAGGCAGGCCCCACAAATAACCCAGAAATGCATTTTAAATAAAAGGACACATTCTACTCATAAAAAACACGCTGATTCCTGGACCGTCCGCAGGCCAGATTGAGAAGGCGATTGGGCCGGATTCGGCCCCTGGGGCTTAGTTTGCCTACCCATGCCTTAAGAAGAGGGATGAAACTAGGTTTTCTTTCACCTGGGTCAAAGACTTGGTTTGGCACCCCCTCACACATTATTATTATTATTATTATTATTATTATTATTATTATTATTAGTGCTTTTTCTGCGGGTACGTATACCCCTAAACATTTTGTGAATCTAAGTTTGGCCTCATTGAGGGGCAGTATTTCTATATGAGTAGGAAAATGAGAGTACCCCTAAACATTATTTTAGAAAAAAAGCACTGATTATTATTATTATTATTATTATTACTACTACTACTACTGCATTATTAGCAACAACAACGATGACAACAATGGCTGCTGACCCATTGCAATTAAAGACATTATAGGTTGGCTACATTTTCCTTCCAAATTACAGGAAGGGTTAAATGCAAAGTACACCAGCATCTCAATTCTTTCATTGCGGGTGTTTTATTTTCAGTATAAACAGGCCTCCGTTTTTGTAGCTGATTGTATGTATTCACATGGTGTAAACATGTATGTTGTCCTCTAGATCCAAACACACACAGAGAGAGAACACATAATCAAACAATGCTCCAAATTGCTCATCTTGTGAATTTGCCATTTGAATTGTTTAATCGTGACAACAGTTCCTGTTTCCAAAACGTACAGGAGGTCTGATTTCTTCACCACTTGTAATTGACCTCCGAGATTTTGGTCCCTGCCAGATGGCTTCTACCAAGAGTTCGCCATGGTTCCCACTTATTAAAATGGAGCATACCCAAGCCAGTTACCTGTCAAAGCTCCCACTTGCCATGCTTAGAATCGCTTTCACAGAATTACGATTCCAATCGATGCCCTCGGCGGTGTTGGATGGACGCTACGGCAAAGTACATTATGAAGAGAGGCTTTGTCTGTGTGGGCAACCCTGTATGGAGGACCTGTGCCACTATTTACTGCAGTGCCCATTATATTTAGACCCAAGAGACCGATTCATAAAACCCCTTGTTTCCGAATGGAACTCACTTGAATAGGGTAGAAAGGGTGAAATGGCTGAGCGATACTGATGACTTTGCAACTTATGAAATAGCACTCTATGCGTTGGCAGCTAAGAAGATCAGGAGGAAAGAACTAGATAAAATAGCGGTCAAATGCAAAGGGGATTCGGATATTTAATTTTAGTAGAGAACCTTCTGCTATTCTATTTTATGCAACAAACAATTTTAGTACAGTGGTACCACGGGTTAAGAACTTAATTTGTTCTGGAGGTCTGTTCTTAATCTGAAGCACCACTTTAGCTAATGCGGCCTCCAGCTGCCGCTGCGCCGCGAGACCACGATTTCTGTTCTCATCCTGAAGCAAAGTTCTTAACCTGAGGTACTATTTCTGGGTTAGCGGAGTCTGTAACCTGAAGCGTCTGTAACCCAAGGTACCACTGTACTTGTGACCGTGGTTTGTATTGTATGTGTGGTGCCTGATGATTTTTATGGTTCTTGCTGTTTTTCCTTTTGTTATTTTTCTGAATGATGCCATGGCCTATGGCTAGTGCAATAAAAGTCGATGATGATGATGATGATGATGTATGTATATATGTATATATGTATGTATGCATATGTTTTCCAGCAAGAATTAAAAAATAAACTGTGCCTACACAAACAGCGGGACGCAGGTGGCGCTGTGGGTTAAACCACAGAGCCTAGGGCTTGCTGATCAAAAGGTCGGTGGTTCGAATCCCCGCGACGGGGTGAGCTCCTGTTGCTCGGTCCCTGCTCCTGCCAACCTAGCAGTTCGAAAGCACGTCAAAGTGCAAGTAGATAAATAGGTACTCCAGCGGGAAGGTAAACGGCGTTTCCGTGTGCTGCTCTGGTTCGCCAGAAGCGGCTTAGTCATGCTGGCCACATGACCCGGAAGCTGTACGCCGGCTCCCTCGGCCAATAAAGCGAGATGAGCGCCGCAACCCCAGAGTCGTCTGCAACTGGATCTAATGGTCAGGGGTCCCTTTACCTTTACCCAAACAGCACTCCTTATTTTCTGTTAAAACATCCTTCTTGACTTTTCAATAAACTTTTAAAGGTGGCTAACAAAAAAGAAAAAGATGCACAATCCTTTTCTGTTTTGACTGCTCCAGGCCTTTTTGCCTTCTTAAGAAACATGATGTAGAAATGCTGAAACAGGGGATGGATTTTTGTTTTTGCATTTTGTCCTCGCTTACCCAGCTTTGGGGTGGTAGTGTGAGGGTGGAGGGGGTGGAGGGGGGGTGTCAAATGCTGCTGAGGACAGCCAAAAAAGGCCTTGTGCGTTGGACCTCCCTGTTCTAGTTCCATACAAGATCCTAATAAAAAGACCTGGCTCATCTCTCCAGCCCCTTAAAAAAATATTAAGCCCTGTTTCCACACCTTTATTTGATGTCTAGAACCCAACAGGAATGTACATATGATATAATGTCTCTGGCAAGGCTGATACGGAAGAAACATGGATTTTTATTTTGCAAAACACAGGAGAGCAGTGTACAAGAGCCCCCGCTGGCAACCTCCCTTCAGCTCTGCCACTACGCTTTTCTCAGTCAATTTGTCAATCCCAGCCTACATAGTTTATCTGGTACTTGATGGCCTGGGAGTCACGATGAACTTTGCTGTTGTCTGTTTTCGCATTTATAGCCTCTAGGTGGCTGGTTTTATGGTGCTCGACAAAATGCGGCCTTGTATAGAAGCTCTCGCCGCAATACATGCATTTATACGGCTTCTCTCCTGTGTGGGTTTTCTGATGAGCGATAAGGTTCGAACTCAGGTTGAACCTTTTCCCGCACTCGGAGCACTGGTAGGGTTTCTCTCCCGTGTGGGTCCGTTGGTGTCGAATCAAGGCGGAGCTACAGGTGAAACACTTGCTGCAGTCCGAGCATTCAAAGGGCTTTTCGCCCGTGTGCGTCCGCTGGTGAACGTTGAGCTGCGAACTCACGCTGAAAAACTTGCCGCAGTCCCGGCACTGGTAGGGCTTCTCGCCCGTGTGGGTTCTCTGGTGAGTGATAAGGTTCGAGTTCAGAGTGAAGCTCTTCCCGCAGTCGGCGCAGTTGTACGGCTTTCTCTCCGGTGTGGATTCTCTGATGTCGGAGGAAGCTGGAGCTGCAGGAAAAGCTCTTCCCGCACTCTGCGCAGTCGTACGGCTTCTCGCCTCGGTGCAGTTTCTTGTGTGCGTTGAGGCTGGATTTCAAGTAGACGCTCGTGGGGCAGTCCCCGCACTTGTACAGTTTCTTCCCCATGTGGATTTTCTCGTGGGCGTTCAGGCTCGATCGCACGCTGAAACTTTTCCCGCAAGCCGAGCACTCAAAGGGCTTCTCTCCAGTGTGTGTCCTCTGGTGCACACTGAGCTGGGAGCTGACGCTGAACGTTTTGCCGCAATCTGAACATTCGTAGGGTTTCTCTCCCGTGTGAGTCCTTTGATGCCGGTTGAGGCTGGAGCTGCAGCCGAAGCTTTTCCCGCAGTCCAAGCAGTCGTATGGCTTGTCCTCCGTGTGGATCCTCTGGTGCCTGATAAGGCTGGAGCTGCAGTTGAAACTCCTGCCGCAATTCGCGCACTGATAAGGTTTCTCCCCCGTGTGGATTCTCTCGTGTGCAATAAGGTTCGAGCTCTGGCTGAAGCCTTTCCCGCAGGCCGAGCAGGTGTAGGGCTTTTCCCCCTTGTGGGTCCTCACGTGTGGGATGAGGGCGGACTTCTGGCTGAAGCTTTTCCCACAGTCGGAGCACTTGTATGGCTTCTCGCCCGTGTGGATCCTCTCGTGGGCCACCAGGCTCGATTTTAAACTGAAGCTCCTCCCACACTCGGAGCATTCATACGGCTTCTCCTCCGTGTGGATCCTCTCGTGGGCGACGAGGCTCGAGGTCTGGCTGAAGCTCTCCCGCACACCGAACACTCGTACGGTTTCTCCTCGGTGTGGATTCTCTCGTGAGCGACGAGGGTCGATTTCTTACCAAAGCTCTTCCCACAGCTCGGACACTGGTGCGGCTTCTCGCCAGTGTGGATTCTCTCGTGAGCGATAAGGTTCGAGCTGTTGCTGAAGCTTTTCCCACACTTGCTGCACGCCAGTTGCCTCTTGTTGGCGCCTACTTTGTTGCCAGCTGCACGAAGGACCGACTTGTTTTGGCCTCCTCTTCCTGGAGGTGTCACCTTTTGCTTTTGCTCGTTTTCCAAAGTCACGTCCTGCCGAGGAGCCGGGAAAACAGTGTTATTGGCTTTTCCTAACAATCTCCCGGGTATATCAAATTGTTCAGAACTGTCAGCACCGCAAGTTGTTTCGTCGCCGTTCTCCTTCTCGGTTGTCAACCCTTGACCTATCAAAAAAGGGAGATAGTAAAAAAAGCACTATTAGCAGCCAGTTTGGTAACAGCCCGGTGCTGGAAATCATCAAAGATTCCTTGCAAGAGGCACAGTTAACTCACGCATGAAAAATTGCTTTATCTGAACATCTAGTCAGACATAGATGTGCAGTGAACGCTCCTTCATTGGAGGTTTTTAAGCAGAAATTGGATGGTCCTCTGTCATGGATAATAATAATAATAATAATAATAATAATAATAATAATAATAATAATAAATTTATACCCCACCCACTCTGGGCGGCTCCCAACAAAATATTAAAAATACTATAAAACATCAAACATTAAAAAGTTCCCTAAACAGGGTTGCCTTCGGATGTCTTCTAAAAGTCAGATAGATGTTTATTTCCTTGACATCTGGTGGGAGGGTGTTCCACAGGGAGGACGCCACTACTGAGAAGGCCCTCTGCCTGGTTCCCTGTAACTTCACTTCTCACAGGGAGGGAGCTGCCAGAAGGCCCTCGGAGCTAGACCCCAGTGTTGAATGATGGGGGTGGAGATGCTACTATAGGTAAACTGGGAGCTGAGGCCGTTTAGGGCTTTAGTTGAGATTCCTGCATTGCAGGGAGTTGGACTAGGTGACCCTCAGTGTCCCTTCTATGATTCCATGTCCATTTAAAAAACAAAAGAGACCCTGCAAATTAGGGACAGCTTGACCAAATGCAGATAAACAGCCTCAGATATTAATTTAATTTATTCAACAATATATATATATATATCAATCAATTGTAGCCTCTAAGCCACTTACAAGAAATATTAAGATTATCAACGTAAGATTTAAAAATAATTAAACTTATCAGGAAAAGAGATTAAGACATGTCAGCATCTACGTGTCTAGATAGGCTTGCCTAAAGATAAATATTTTAAGCTGAAAACAGTTCAGTGAAGGCGGCTGCCTGACGTCAATAGGCAGGGAGTTCCAAAAGTAAAATGTTACCACGGAAAAAGACAAATTTCTTACAAGTGCAGAATGAGTTTTCTGTAACACTGGGATCCTGCAAGTTAAAGTGGTCTCACACACAGGGATGACATTTATATATATATAATTTAAAAAATACAAAAAATTACATATACGTACAGTGGTACCTCGGTTTTGGAACGTCTCTGTTGACAAAGAATTCGGTTTTTGAAATACGCCTCGGAAGTCGAATATGCCACGTGGCTTCCGTTGAGTGCAAGATCCTGAGGCCTAGCTGCCAGCTGTTGAGTTTTTGGTTTTCGAACGTTTCAGAACTCGAACGGTCTTCCGGAACAGATTACGTTTGAAAACCGAGGTACCACTGTGTATGTATGTACAGTGGTACCTCAGGTTAAGTACCATTTACCTTCCCGCCGGAGCAGTACCTATTTATCTACTTGCACTTTGATGTGTTTTTGAACTGCTAGGTTGGCTGCTGCAATAGTTAGAGAAAGGTGCCTAATAATAATTATAATACAGTGGTACCTCAGGTTACGTACTTAATTTGTTCCGGAGGTCTGTCCTGAAACTGTTCTTAACCTGAAGCACCACTTTAGCTAACGGGCCTCCTGCTGCCGCCACACCAACCAGAGCACGATTTCTGTTCTCATCCTGAAGCAAAGTTCTTAACCTGAAGCACTATTTCTGGGTTAGCAGAGTCTGTAACCTGAAGCGTCTGTAACCCAAGGTACCACTGTATACTTTTCAGCCATGGTTATGGGCTTGCAGGGAGCGGGGTAAGGATGAGGGCCTGCAATCTCCACCCACCCCACCCCACTTTTGCACCATGGCTGGAGCAGAATCAAGAAAGACTCATATTCAACCTTTGCATCCAAGGAGCTCGTCCTGAAAGGCAGACTTTTCCTCCAAATGAGCACCGGCTCCCTGTTTCGACTCCACCAGAAATGGTTTGGTTTTTTGGGGAAGCTTGATGCCTTCCTTGCTGGAGAAAAGAGACAGAGAAGGATGTTCAAGACAGGCATAATGATAATAATAATAATTATTTATTTATACTCTGCCCATCTGGCTGGGTTTCCCAGTCACTCTGGGCGCTTTCCAGCAAAATATTAAAAAGAATAATTCATCAAATATTAAAAGCTTCCCTAAGCTGCCTTCAGATGTCTTCTAAAAGTCAGATAGTTGTTTATTTCTTTGACGTCTGGTGGGATTGCGTTCCACAGGGCAGGTGCTACCACCGAGAAGGCCCTTTGCCTGGTTCCAGGGCAAGTGCTACCACCGAGAAGGCCCTTTGCCTAGTTCCAGGGCAGGCGCCACCACCGAGAAGGCCCTCTGCCTGGTTCCAGGCAGCATCAGATACAAGACGTGTCCCTACCACATGGTCTGACCACCCCACATTTGAGGCCCCTTTCCAGCTCCGCTGAAGGTGAAACCCACAAGAAGAATAGCCTGTACCCATAATTCAAGCTCACCTGTCACCCAGAGCCTCAACAACCTGGAAAAAACAAAAACAAAACAGCAGTTAGCACGGTTACTGGTGGCTACGAAGGGCGAAGAGAGGTTTACTGGTTTGTGGAGGGTAGTGATGTTAAATTCTCGAGAATAATGTTTTGGAGAATGTTCTTGATTAATGAGGTGTGTACATTTAAAGCAGAATATACAGTTTGTGGAGTATATTCTCCGGAGAATATTCTCACCTCCACATCACTAGTGGGGCGCTTTTCGTTTTTATGATGTATTTTGTGTTTTTGTGTTGTGAACTGCCCTAAGAGCTACGGATGGAAAAGAGGTATACAATTTAATAAACAATAAAACAATTACCGTATTTTTCGCTCTATAACACGCACCTGACCATAACACGCACGTAGTTTTTAGAGGAAGAAAATCCATAGGTATGCCACCCGTAGGCATTCCCTCCATAACACGCACAGACATTTCCCCTTACTTTCTAGGAGGAAAAAAAGTGTTATGGTGCAAAAAATACGGTAATTTAAAAGTCAGGATACGTTTTGAAGGCACTTCCAGGAGATAATTTATAGGCAGAACTGCTCACTTTGTTGCCTGTGGGTATTTTAAAGGCTGCGAATATTTATTTATGAAAGTATTTCTGCACTGTTCCATCTATATATACGTGTGTGTGTGTGTGTGTGTGTGCTCGTGTGTCTGTTTGTATCTATATATCTCAGGGCAGCGCACAACATTAAAATACAAAACACAATTATAAGAATCCTTAAGGTGACAGGCTAATCCGGGGGTTTTTTAAAGTAGAAAATATAATCAGCAAGAAGTCCGGCTGGCAATAAAAACCTCTTAGAGAGACTCCTGAAAGTCAAAAGCTTTTGCCAAATCTCTGCTGGGAAAGCAGTTACCTAGCAGGCGATTGTGTACCCTAAACACCCACCTTCTACCAGAGGCAAGGTGGACCCCTTTAAAACAAGGACCAATTAAAAGCACCTCTTCAGGTGATCTTCATAAACAAGATGGATTTTAAGGGCTCAAGGGGTCCTAGAGCACATTATTATTATTATTATTATTATTATTATTATTATTATTATTATTTGCACCTTTCCTTTAAAGGAGCTCTTGGTGGCATTCACAGTTCTCCCTGTTATCAACAACGCAGCAAAGTGGGTTAGACTGGGAGACAAAGGCCACCCGGTGAGCTTCACAGCTGAGTGGGGATTCGAACTCTCGTCTCCAAGGTCTTAGCCCAACACCCTAACCACTGCACTACGCTCCCTTCCTTCACTGATTCACCACTGAGTTTCCCTGTCTCTTCCGCCTTACGCAATGTTGCAAAAACCGAACGGCGCTTTGCAGGCTGCAAGAACTCAGCGTCATCCGCCTTTGAGGAAAAACCAGTTGAGATAAGGTGTACTTAAAGAGTGTCGGACTAGGGCTTGGGAGGCCGGGGGTTCAAATCCCCGCTCTGCAATCACAGGGCAATCTTGGGCCAGTCTCTCTACCTCACCTACCTCACAAGGTGGTTGTGGGGTTTTAAAGGGGGGAGGGCAGAGACATTGCCTTGAGCTCCACGGAGCAAAAGATGGGAAATAAATGCAATAATATAGAGATGTTTTTAAAAGCAGGCATTGATCCTGTTATACACAGGCTAGTCCAGGGGTCTGCAACCTTTAAGACAACAACAACAACAACAACAACAACAACAACAACAACAACAACAATAATAATAATTTATTATTTATACCCCGCCCATCTGGCTGGGTTTCCCCAGCCACTCTGGGCGCCTTCCAAAAGAATATTAAAATACTATGATACATCAAACATTAAAAACTTCCCTAAACAGGGCTGCCTTCAGATGTCTTCTAAAAGTCTGGTAGTTGTTGTTATCTTTGACATCTGGTGGGAGGGCGTTCCACAGGGAGGGCGCCACTACCGAGAAGGCCCTCTGCCTGGTTCCCTGTAACTTGGCTTCTCGCAGTGAGGGAACCGCCAGAAGGCCCTTGGTGCTGGACCTCAGTGTCCGGGTAGAACGATGGGGGTGGAGACGCTCCTTCAGGTATACTGGACCGAGGCTGTTTAGGGCTTTAAAGGTCAGCACCAACACTTTGAATTGTGCTCGGAAACGTACTGGGAGCCAATGTAGGTCTTTCAAGACCGGTGTTATATGGTCTCGGCGGCTGTTCCCAGTCACCAGTCTGGCTGCTGCATTCTGGATTAGTTGTAGTTTCCGGGTCACCTTCAAAGGTAGCCCCACTTGGACCCGTTTCCGAAGAAAAAAAAACTGGGAGCCGCAAAACTCATCATTATAAAAATAACTCTTTTGTCACTTTTTTATTATTTCTTTGTTTGACCCCTCAGAATTACTCCTCCTCATAGAAATAAATGTTAAATTAACAAGTTACCTTTTTGTGTGTGTGTTCTTCACTCCCCTTCAAAACAGTGACCAGCGTACATGCCCCTTACAATGTAGTGGGCGGGCGGGAAGGTGACGTCGGGACGGTGCGTGACTAACGCATGCACTGCCCCCATGCGACGTCACAGCCAGTACAGCGCCCGCCACAGTGGGGAGTGTCGGGGCACACAATGCGCCTCCTCCCCTCGCTAGTATCCGCCCCGGAGCCGCGGCAAAGGTGTAAAAGAGCCACATGCGGCTCCGGAGCCGCGGGTTGCAGACCCCTGGGCTAGACTAAAAGCCAAGGCAGAGAGAGGAAAAAGTGCTCCAGGAATAGCTCTTTTAAAAAAACAACAGCTCAACAAGTTTGGGCTGGGTTTCAGGGATGATTGGGGCACGAACCGCAAACCACCCACAAAATCCCTTACCTGACTCAGCTCCATTCCTCCAGTTCCTCTCCTTCCCTGGACGGTTTGACTCAGCAGAGGTGAAAGGCCTGCAGGTGTGGGGAAAAAAAGAGAGAGATAACTCAGAGGCAGGGGAAATTCTGCAGAGAACAACAGGTCCTGGAGTAGGTGATGGCTGCAATCCTCTGCACGCCAGACCAAGCAAGGGCAGTGGCTCAGGGGCCGAGCATCAGAAGCTAATTGAATCATAGAGTTGTGGAGCTGGAAGGGACCCCGAGGGTCATCTAGTCCAACCCCCGGCAATGGAGGAATCTCAGCTCAAGCATCTAAGTCAGACGGTCCCTAAAAGCCCTAAATTCCATTCCTGGCATCTCTGGGGTAGGACTGGGAATGCCTCAAACCCTGCAGGCTGCTGCTGCTGCCGGTCAGTGAATACAAGAGCTGACTCAACAGAAGGCCTTATGAAGAGTGGTCGAAGGAGCTGGGTATGTTTAGCCTGAACAAGAGGGGACTGAGAGGAGATACGAGAGCCACCATCAAATATCTGAAGCGCTGCCACATGGAAGAGGGAACAGGCTTGTTTTCTCCTGCTCTGGAGGGTAGGACTCGAACCAAGTGCTTCAAGCTGCAAGAGAAGGGATTCCGACTCAACATATAGAATAACTTTCTAACAGAAAGAGCTTTTTGACCATGGAAGGGAGGTTTTGCACTCTCCTTCCTTGTAAGTTTTCAAGCAGAGGTTGGACGACCATCCGTCATGGATACTTTAGCTGAGATTCCTTCACTGCAGCGGGTTGGACTAGATGACCCTCGGGGACCCCTTCCAACTGTACGATCCTTTTTTTAAAAAAATTGCATTTTATTTATTTGTTAACATTCTTATATTACATCGGTAAATGTTGTCATATTACGTTACAGGACTTACTATAATACAATTTCCAACACGCATACAAATATGATATACAAATTTTATATACCTAGAAAGAAAATTTTCTTTCCAACTCTACGATCCTAGGGTTCTCCGGGGATTTCAAGCCCCACTGAAGTCAACGGGGCTTCCTCGGGAGTAGGCGCGCCTAGACCTTCCGACAGGTGGGCAGGCGGGAGGAAAAGGCGCACCAAGCAGCTATTTTGGAGATGCTTGGGGGTGCGCGTGTGTGGTACCCTGTTTTCTCCGGGCGCCCTGTTGGTGTTAGGGGCGGCGATGATCCGGATCAGGCGCCTCTTTCCTCGCAAAGCTGCTTGCAGGGCTTGAGCTGTCGTCGGGCAAAGGCGAGTCTCCCGTCCAGGCTCCAAGCGCGCAGGAGGCTTCTCCGCCGATCCCGGTGCACATCTGGGGTTGCGGGGTGGGTGGGTGCCTCTCTCCGCCCCCAAGGCTTCAGAGGCACCCCCGGATGCTAAATCCGCCGCTTGGCAAGAAGCTCAGCCCCTTCCGTCCGACCTCCATCCCTCCCTCCGGAGCCGGAGGAGAGGAGACGCGCGCGCCCTGCGCTCTTCGCCCTCTGCTGGTCGCTGCAAAGGGGTCTGGCCGGAGGCGGTGGTTTCCATCTCCCCAAAAAAGCATTCCTGAGCCCGTGCAGAGCGCCTTCCTGCATAGGGTAATGCAGTCCCCCGCTTTCTGTCTGGGCAGATAAACAAACAAAAAAGCTACGGATGGAGAATCTCTTTCTCTATTTAGATTTTCATTTATATTTTTCACCATTGTACTTTTCGACATTGCATTACTTTACATTGCATTCAAGAGGAACTGAACATCTCCTTCCCTTCACTGCATGTTCTAATCATGCAATATTTTCCCTTTCTTGTTTCTCCTTTGTTTCCCTTTCTTGATTCTCGTTTTTAACTCCGTTATAGTGCTGGGTTTACTCTAAAGGCGGTTGGAGGATGGATGGCGGCTAATGGATTGAGGCTGAATCCTGACAAGACAGAAGTACTGTTTTGGGAGGACAGGAGGCGGGCAGGTGTGGAGGACTCCCTGGTCCCGAATGAGGTAACTTTGCCCCTGAAGGACCAGATGTGCAGCCTGGGAGTCATTTTGGACTCACAGCTGTCCATGGAGGCGCAGGTTAACTCTGTGTCCAGGGCAGCTGTCTACCAGCTCCATCTGGTACGCAGGCTGAGACCCTACCTGCCCGTGGACTGTCTCGCCAGAGTGGTGCATGCTCTGGTTATCTCCCGCTTGGACTACTGCAATGCCCTCTATGTGGGGCTACCTTTGAAGGTGACCCGGAAACTACAACTAATCCAGAATGCAGCAGCTGGACTGGTGACTGGGAGCAGCCGCCGAGACCACATAACACCGGTCTTGAAAGACCTTCATTGGCTCCCAGTACGTTTCTGAGCACAATTCAAAGTGTTGGTGCTGACCTTTCAAGCCCTAAACAGCCTCAGTCCAGTATACCTGAAGGAGCGTCTCCACACCCATCGTTCTGCCCAGACGCTGAGGTCCAGTGTCAAGGGCCTTCTGGTGGTTCCCTCACTGCAAGAAGCCAAGTTACAGGGAACCAGGCAGAGGGCCTTCTCGGTAGTGGCACCTGCCCTGTGGAACACCCTCCCATCAGATGTCAAAGAGATAAACAACTACCTGACTTTTAAAAGACATCTGAAGGGAAGTTTTTAATGTGCGACATTTTAATGTATTTTTAATCTTTGTTGGAATCCGCCCAGAGTGGCTGGGGAAACCCAGCTAGATGGGCGGGGTACAAACAAACAAACGTTTTAACCTGCTTGCAGTGATTCTTCATATAACCTACAAACCTTTTCCAACAGATAAAGGATCTCTTAAGCTTATGCAGAGCGCCTTTCTCCAGATGGGGAACTGCTACTTTTCTCCCTTTCTTGGGGCTGCACGCAGTATCCCACAGCCTGTGCAGAGTGCTTTTTTTTTTTAAGCGGCAGAATCATTTCTCTCCTTTCTGGGGGGAAGAAGATCTATAGGCAGACGGCCTTTGAGCATGTGCAGAATGCTTTCCTGCAGAGATTAATGCTCCCCACTTTCTGTCTGGGCAAACAAACAAACAAAAAACCACATGCAGAGCACCTGTCTTCAGATAGGGAACGCAGCTTCCGCCCCAAACCAGGAAAGATGGGTGGAAGCCATGCTTGGAAAAATCAAGGGCTGGTTTTTATATATCTGTATTTTTTTTAAAAAAATCTATATACATAGTGCTGTTCATTAAAAAAAAAAGACTGACTTTCAACAATCATACATTCGTAAATCCATTTTAAAAAAAAAATCAGAGATCAACTATTGATTGATTGGCATTGGCCTGTCTCGGGAGACAACGGAGGAGTGAGCCCAACTATTACAGAAGAATCTTCTTAATTGCCTGCATTGGCTTGGCTACGCAACAAAGTTTTTGCGGGCATTTAAAGGTTAATGGAGAAGACGCCCGCTGAATATCTATTGGCTGAGCATTCCGCAGGGACGGGGGCGGTACCAGAAGTGACCAACCGCGTCCCTCCAAAGGGATAAGCGAAAGCAGGAGAGGAGCCAGAGAGATAGAGAGATTTCCGGTTGCCAACAGAAAGAAGCAGGAGCCCCGCATCCTCTGGCTGCCTTCAAATGGGAACCCGAATAGGCGTCAGCTCTGAATGTCCTGCCCAGTTTGTGAAGTTGGGGAGGAGGGAGATGAACAGCTGGGCGCGCCTTGGAGGTACAGGGGCGAAAGGGGGCTTCTCCTCCAGGAATTTAGGGATTTGGGCATTGCAAGAGAAGAAAAGCAAAGCCTACACACATCTGGAGCGGAGTCCCTAAGACAGTTGGATGGCACCTTGTACGCCTGCTTCCGGAAACTCCTGCAGCCAAGCTGGTACCAAACGTCTTGCTCTGCTTTCCTTTGGACCCCCATCAGCGAGGCCGAGGAGGGGGGTGTCTTGCCAACCGGGCAGCCCAAGACCACCACTGCCCTGGCTTGCACCCCAGGGAGGTCGCTTTGGTGCTGCTAACCCAGCGGTTCTACTTCACCCCCCCCCCCAGCATAGCTATCAACTTTCAGATTTGAAAATAAGGGATCAGCAGCCTCACCTGTCCTGGGGACAGTCTACGGGATAGCTAACAATCCAGGATAGCAGCGGGAAACAGTGCTGGAATAAGGGAATTTCCCGCAAAAAAAGGGAAGGCTGACAGCTATGCCCCGGAAGCGTACTCCATTGTTTCTCAAGACAGATGGATGCCAAAACAACTAACCATTAAAGGATATTCTCATAATTTCCTGCATAGGATTGGCAGCATAGAAAGGTTTTTAGCAGATGTTCAAAAGCTGAGGCAGAAGGCACCCACTGAATCTCTGTAGGCAGACTACTCCCCAACTGGGCAGATGATGTCATTTCTTCTTCTTGTCATTTCTTCTTGTTGTCAGGTGAACCTCATCAACTCAGAGGACGACCAGTGGTGCTCCTACAGATTCTCCCTGCCGGGTTTGTTTAGAGTTTGTTACAGGCGGACAACCTTGACAGGAGCCCGACATTGCTCTCCTCTCCTGCGAATTCCAGCAGCAGGTACGTAACTGGGCCTTGAGCAAAGTGTTGGTTTCTTCCAGAAGCAAATGGGTACAAGGTAAAAAAGGTGAAAGGTAAAGGACCCCTGGATGGTTAAGTCCAGTCAAAGGAGACGATGGGGTTGTGGCATTCATCTCGCTTTCCGGCCGAGGGAGCCAGTGTTTGTCCAAAGACAGCTTTCCAGGTCATGTGGACAGCAGGACTAAACCACTTCTGGCGCAACGGGACCCCGTGACGGAAACCAGAGCGCACAGAAATGCCATTTACCTTCCTGCCGCAGCGGTACCTATTTATCTGCTTGCACGGGTGTGCTTTCGGAATGCTAGGCTGGCAGTAGCTGGGACAGAGCAACGGGAGCTCACCCCGTCACAGGGATTCGAACTGCCGACCTTCTGATCATCAAGCCTAAGAGGCTCAGTGGTTTAGACCACAGCGCCACCCACTTCCCTTCCCACCTCGTGCTGCAGCCCAAGTGCTGGCAGAAGTGAGACCTGCAGGCCAGGGTGTCCCACTCTTATTACCGAACCTTGAGGATTTTTTGGCCAGATGACTCTGTGGGTAAGTTTTTCAGTCCTGTAGGAAAATACTA